CTTGATAGCAGGATCGTAATAAGTTTTAATTCAGATCATGTGGAGAGATGTAAAGGGACTAAGTTTTTTATCAAGATTCTATATAAAGCTTGCACGTAACTGTTTCATATTTCCTAATGTCAGAATATCAGTAATACAATCCTCTTGATAGTAAACGGTTGCCTCTATTCCAGGTCATTGCTGATTTCAAAATTTGTTTATTTTACGCTTTCTAATATTTGCAAGAGGTGTGAATGAATTTGAGATTTCCATGACATCACATATTTTACTTCTTTACAGGCTTCCACTCTTCAAGACAAAGCCATCCCTCTAGAGATCGTTGAGATTTCAGCTGGGGTACTGGTGCCGCTCCATGATGGAGACTTAATCGGAGGCATCAACCATCTTCGGGAGCAAATGGCAGATATCGAAAATCCGACGTTTCGACTTCCAGTAGCTGTAGGACAGGACATTGTTTTGCAACAGAACGTGCGGCTGCTGGAAAGGAGCACAGATCTAGAGGAAGACAATATTCGTCTACAGGGTCACCTTGACACCATGGAAGGGAGATTGAGGCGGATGGAGGGAGCTGTAACCGAGCTGCTGAACTGGAAGGCAGAGACGATTGCTCAAGATCAGCGGCCACAGGCACCTCCGGTTCAGGCACCACCACCACCACCTCAGGCACCACCACCACCTCTGGCTCAGGCACCACCACCACCTCTGGCTCAGGCACCACCTCCACCTCCAGTTGCACCGGGCCAAGGCATCACCGATGAATTCCTCACATCGCTCAGACTTCAGACCGAGAGCCGAAGGAGGTAACACGGCAACTGGCGGCGGCCCTCTTCACCGAAGATGAACGGGTCGCGATGTGTGTGACCGGCAAGAAGGGTAGAGGACTGGATGTTGCAAAGGTTGGAGCGTTAAAGAGACATTTTATTTCTCCATTTGTCCAGTCCTTCGACATCAGCGAGATGCTGCATGGCACCTATGTGTGAAGGCCGTTGGTGCTCAATCACGATACTCCAGGATGAAGCAGATAAAGGAACAAAGGAATAGGTTTAAATACCCTACACTTCTTAACACAAGAAAAGTCCAGGGATGGGTGAGCACACCATTGAGGCTGAGTTTGTTGGAGAGGGGGCTGTCTATGAGAATGGGGTCTTTCAGGATGCCCTGACTGCATTTTGGCAGGAAGTCATCAACACCTACGGGGAGGGGGAAGGGAGGGGGAATACTCCCTCTGTGGTCCTCATGCCACATCCCAGACTTACATCTATTGACTACCAAACAATGGGGAAAATCCTGTATCTAGGATTTAGTCAACAGCAGTATTTTCTCTTATCGTTCTGTGCCGGTCATCCGTCATCGCCAGCGTGTTGGCAGCAGAGAGGGCTGGGGGACAACCTACTCCTGGAGGACTTCCTGGCCACCCTAGGAAAGATGAAGGGGGTATCCTCCAGGATGCTCTGGAGATGACAGATTTTGTAACATATGATGATGAACTAAATGAACTTCTTCTGGACACTTTTTCTAGATTTAACATTCGTAGAATCGTGAAATCACAGAACGTGTGTGACATTGCACTACAGCGTGCACGCGTCGATGATTCAACAGAGACCCCACTTCTGCCTCGAGAGTATGAGGCTTCCCTCTCTTCAGGCATTTCAAGAATTCTAATCCCTCAAGTCTATCTTGACCTTGTACAGGAATCTCAAACCAAATGGCAGGAGTGTAGCCAATGCCCATAAGTTCACAAGTGTCCGTTAGTTCAGCCAGCCGCCGGACAATTAGCCAATATCTCAAAAGATGTGTCCAATCTTTTGATGGGGAACTTCTCATCCGACTCGGTTTCTGACTTTGACCATGCTGAACTTATTATCTTTTTATTTTCCTACTCCTTAACAGCTAATCACCAACAACGAACAGCTACATGATGGGCCGTACGCCTTGGTCCCACACAGGTGTATATGCCGGACCCAGGCGGCCGGGGCACCCAGATGCAAGAGAAAAACCAGACATCTGTCACGTATCTGCTGGCAACATCGTGAAATGTTCAGAGGATGAATGAGTACTCAAACAGCTAATCATCTTGAACGAGAATAAGTACGAAGACTGACATGTTGGACCTTATGCCCTCGTGGCCCATAGATGTGTAGGTGTCGCACGCAGGTTGGCACAAATGCAAGAGGAAGACCCGTCACCTTTTTAGGAGACGGAGAGTCCAAGACTCAAATGAGCAACCAAGGCGATTTACTTTACTAAGGTGGACCACAAAATGTAGGAAAAAAAAATGTATTTCCTGTCTGTTTTCCTTTAAATTAAAAGATGGTATAATCATTGATTGGACTAAATTCAAGCAGTACTGGTCATGAAGGGGGGAGGGGGGGACAAGGTGTGTTCTTCAAGTACTCTCGTACAAAAAGAACAAAATCATTCACTACGTGATGCAGGAATGCGGCAGTGGGAGTAATGCTGACACTATGAACATGACAGACAAAGAAAGCGGACAAAATATACAGTTCCTCAGGTAGACAAAGGAACATCCCTTCACTGCCATTATGTAAAAAGGTGAATATGCATGTGAAACCTGTTCTACACATTTTTACATAATAGCAGTGAAGGGATGTTCTTTTGTCTACCTGAGGAGCTGTATATTTTGTCTGCTTGCTTTGTCAATCATGTTCATAGTGTGATGACCCACAGGTCCATGGTCAGAGTCTCAACTATTGCTGGAAATAGCCTGTTGAGTGAGTGTGACACCTATATGTATGGTCCCATCAAGCTTTAGACACGATAGAAGTTAACATAATCACAGATAAGGATTTACATGTGGATGTATCAGGGTTAGAAATGATAAGGTGTAATAATTATTCTGTATTCCCGTTTTTTTCTTGTTGAAGTGTTCTAATATTCATTATGTCATTAATGTAGGCCTGAGTCATGTCGGGATTTTCATAAACCGGGTCCCGACGGCCTTGCACCGATCGGGACCCGGTGTCCCGAAATCAGCTCGCAGGATTTGTCACTTGCCTCTATAAAAAGCGCATATCATCAGTATGTCCCTTAAAAGTGACCTTTTTTATCAGTCAAATAAATCAACACATGCATACCTCGGCACAGATCGGTATATTCTTCCATTTGACATTATTTTTATCCATGATTGGCGATGTTTAGTGCCATTATCGTGCCTCTAAAAGTAAAAAAACTGGAGCAAAAATAGAAAGACAACGATCGAGCCGCCATTTTTATTCATGCAGGTTGAATAAATCGGGTCAAAAAACATTAATGTTTGAATAATAAAACGGCTTTCTAAAAAGTACTCCTTTACAACATACCGATCGAATAATTTTTAAAAACAAAATAGATATTTTTTCTTTGATTTTGAACACCGCATGCTTCTTTTAAAAGCTGAAAATTACTTGGTAATCACAAGAAGTTTCGACACGGATAGCTGTTGCAAGGCAAGTTCAGACTAGTCTCGGAAAAATGCGCAGTGCTCCTTGTTAGCTGTAATGCGTGCCAGAATGAACCCAAACAAAGACGTGATCGTAACGAGAAAAAAATCATTAAAAACTACGAGGGCACAATTGGAAAGACAACTACTGCTCAAAATTACGATAATCAGATAAATAACTTGTACAAAGAATTCAATAATCGCCCAAGAAATGCCAAAGAAATTGTGATAATCGAGGAGTAACTGGGTACATTTTTATCGCAAGGGGCTTGCTGCAAATACTTGAATCCCTTGTTATACTGCTTTTTACCGTAGAGGGCGTTATTTGGTTTCTAGCCTCGTGTTAAAACACGAGGCTAGAAACCAAATAACGTGTAATTCGGACATATCAGCAGGCCCATTCCGATGATTGTACCTATAGTAACTCCTTAAATATCACTATTTCTGTGGCTTTTCTTGGACAGACAACTGTATTATTCCTCCAAGTTATGTATCTGCTTACGATAATTTTGAGTAGTTGTCTTTCCAATTGTGCTCTCGTAGTTTTTAATGATTTTTTCTCGTTACGATCACGTCTTTGTTTGGGTTCGTTCTGGCACGCATTACAGCTAACTACGAGGAGCACTGCGCATTTTTTCGAGACGAGTCTGAACTTGCCTTGCAACAGCTATCCGTATCGAAACTTCTTGTGATTACCAAGTAATTTTCAGCTTTTAAAAGAAGCATGCGGTGTTCAAAATCAAAGAAATAATATCCATTTTGTCTTTTAAAAATTATTCGATCGGTATGTTGTAAAGAAGTACTTTTTAGAAAACCGTTTTATTATTCAAATATTAATGTTTCTTTCAACCTGATTATTATTATTAATCCTGCCGAGAGACCCGGCCAGTACAGTAGCTAGCTAGCAGCTGGCAACAACAACCCCATGGGGTGAACTGCTTTGCAACCCATATTTATATCAGCAGTTCGGATTGATTCAGGATGAGCTAGAATATGATTGGTAACAATTAAATACTTAAGTTTTAAGGTGGAATGATTTTAGTGGTGTGCAAAACTGCAATTTCTTACATATTTCATTATTTTTTTCGGAGCGTCGGTTCTCAAAAAAAGAAACCGGGACCCGACGGCAACGGTCGGTCCCGGTGTGATCGGCCGTACCGACTCAAGCCTACATTAATGTATTGTTAATTAATTACTATGCATATCGTCATTAATGTATTGAATAATTACTATGCATATCATCAATATTGTTTTGTTATTTCTTTTCATGGAAATGAGGAAATAAATCAAATCGAATGGGAAATTCCGAACTGGGTTAGATGGAAGTACCCTTTACTTCTGTAGTGGTATGCTGATTTGGGCAACACATTGACCTAAAGGGGGCACTATAGTTGATCATTTGTACGGTTATTAGTTTGTCTTTGTATACATCTAAAAGTTGAATAGCATTAATTATGTTCCCGATAGTATGCCAGGAACCGGTAAACAACCCTGTTCTTGAATTCCTGCATTAGCTTACAGGTGTTCATTTCCGATAAACACGTTAGACGTTTCCGGGGACCTGACATTCTTGCGGAGCTACAGACTGCTCCCATTTCTGTTGGTGCCTAATTCAAGTCACTCTATCCATTATGCTTTGTCATTGATTATATTAAATTAAATGTATAACTCCTCTCTTAATTGGTGGATTGAACTGATCTAGAGGTCGGATGACCCAAGGGTCATTTTATATATCCTATCTTGTAATTGGTTGTCTTCGTAAGGGTCCTCCTGATGCCATGTGCTGGATTTCGTAGCTGTCTTTATTTCATTCCGTTACTATGTTAAGGATGTGCTGCTAGTTTCACTCAATCTATAGGGCCGCCCAGCCTCTGAGAGAATAAGCTATTTTAAAATGTCCTTAAATAAATAATCTTTGTTTGTAACGACTGTAGCTTTGGCTGACTTTATAAATAATAAAGTAGACCTCAGTTGTATATCCGAGCTTCTTTAGTTTTCATTTTTTTCTGTACTTGTCGTCACTGACCCATTATGGGCCCATTACACTTCAAACGTTACCATGAGATAGCAAAGATTGCAGTTTTGGGGTGTTTCACAAAGATTCATGTCTAGACAACCCCAAAGTCTCTCGAGAAACTAGTCTGTTTCACAAAAGAAAGTCTATACATAAAAGACCTCTCGCAAATATTCAAAGTCTCTGGTATCTAATTGTGTCTGATATTTTATCACCGCTGTTGGATTTTTTTGTATTGCGAGAGGAAGAGGAAGTTCAGAGAGCGATGAGGTGAGAGAGAGCGATGAGGTGAGAGAGGGCGTTTAGAGACAGATACAACCCACTTGATCACTATAATGATCTTGGAGTTTAAAAAAGGGTATAAGATTCACAAGGAATGATGCATGTCAAATGTTGCCGTAGCTGTGTTGAACAATCGCTTCACTGAATTGAGTTGACTAGAGTGAGTTAAATTCTCCTTTCATTTTACAATCTTGTATTGGTCAAAAGATGAACATTTGACTCTTAGGTGCATTGCTCATCCATAAGTTGGCAGTGCAGAGTAGGGGTAGAAAGTGTTTTTCCTCTGAATATTCCCCAGAAACACTCAAGGCAGCAAAAAGTGCAACTTATCAAGTCCTGTCAGGCCTATCTACACACCTGTAATGGTCAGTAACAATTGTACAACTAGCAAGATGGGTTAATGGTTAGCCAGAGCCCAGCATTTTATTTCGTTTGTGCCATAATGCTTCAGTTTTCGGTAGCGCTGCACCCTAACCCCCGCAGAGACGCTGCCCCTTCTAGAAATTCTTAATTCTTATTTTCAAATGTTGGCAGGTATGCACTTGTATTAGAAGCTTGTCTGCCATCTAAATGACCATGCCATCACAAATCATTTCAAATGTGTCAAGGCTGTCACTAGGGCGCTTTCGCAAACACGACAGAAGGCAAAGACGACGTTAACGCGAGCAAAAAAATTGTTTGGTCCTGTTGATTTTCATGACCGTATGCGGCCATGATAGCGTTCATTCCCTAAACATGACGGAAGAGCTGATCGCCGTAATTCTCCCGTGGTCTTTGCTTCCGTCGTGTCTGCGAAAGCGCCCTACTGTGAAGTGTATAACACATTAAGAGTTCATGCTACAGAAGTTTTTAACAATTACTGATTGAAGGACAAAAAGAAGAAGGAACCAACCCCCAAAATAAGGCAAAGGGAAGAAACTATGACCATGTTCCTGGCATGATACACCAGATTGTTTGGACTTTAGAACACTCATCATCTGATCAATGGTCAACTAAGGTTCTTGAAATGAAAGAAAAATAGTTATGTGGAAGATAAATTTAGAAATCCCCTTTGAGGGATACATTGATTGAAGTGCCTGTGACAATTTACGGACATTACTTGGAAGGTTTTTGGTTGCGGAGGGTAGCATGTCAGACTGCCCGCTCTAACCATCCAGTATTGGTTGGATGTAATCTTCTTCGGAAGCTAGATCGAGGTGTGATGATGCTTAGTCTCTACAAGTAGCTGAAATCATCATCATAAAGTACCTCCCTCAACAGAAAGCAGAACTGGGGAGTCAACAGTCATAACCAAAATGTTGAAGGGTTTCGTTAAAATTCTTGTACCTAGCTGGAACTACAATGTGCTAGATTATTTATACAATGTAATACAAATGGTGGCATTGAATTTCAAAAGCATAGAATTTGAGCATATAATACTGAAGGCATCCTATTTATAACCGTAACCAAAAACAACAAAAACAAAAAACTGAACACGCAAGAATTGATTTGAAAATATCCTTGTACTAAATTAGTTACATAATTTAGAAACCTGGGCTGTTCATAGTAAGTTGGGATGATGACTGATGACCTTTGCTCAGCCACTCTGCTCCAAACTCCTTGTGGTGCTTGTAGCTTTCACCTCGGCCGCTTCTTACTTTGGAACAAGCTCCCTCATCTGAAATCTGTGAAATTATTCAAAGAAGAATTGAGGAAATACCTATTGTAAGTGCTGCAATGTATGTATGTATTGGACACCACATAAATGAACTTCTTCAGTGTTCTCAATACTTAAAATGCATGAAGATGATATGATAGATTTACTTACATAAGCCCTCAAAATAATTTCTTACAATTAAAAACTTTCTACAGATACTAACAGAGATCTGGATTTTTGTTTTTGTTTTAACGATTACAACAGTAACAATAGTAACTAGAAATGCAATCGTGTCACAACGATGTGCGTGCAATGACGCCATGTTTCTAAAGGCGTGTCAAACGAAAGAGCTTCTCTCGGACTATCCAGAGCAATTTGTACGAAGTCTGTAGCTTCTGTGATATTGGAGATAGGTAGGGCGAAAGAAAGGCCTCAACAGTGACCTTGATGGGATGGTAGTGACTATGCCTACGAAGTTTGAAAGAAATCGGGATAAGGGAAAGAACCTAGAAAGGGCTCGCTAGCACTGCGTGCAAAAACCAATGGGATTTGGTGCATGTTCGTCATTGCAATCAAGATCGTTCTGGGGGCCAAAAGCGTGAACCCGATATGCCCCATAGACAATGCGTGTAATGCATGGGCGGAAAACGTACAGGATCTGTATTATGACCGGAGTTAAATTGTTTTTTCTCTCTCTCTTTACGTCTCTTTATGGGCCGTATTTGGTATCATTAGAAAGAGAATTTCATGGTTGTTATTGTAAACCACTCTTTTTTTCTATGATAATCCTATCGAAACATGTGATGTAAAATAGATTTATAGGACAAAATGGCGTCTTAAATAGCCCTCTTGACCAATTTTAAAAATCCTGCCAAGAGGTGCCCTGCGTATTGGAACTCGGCATGTCACTGCAAATTTTCAAGGAAAAAAAAGGACGTTTAAGGGGCGAAAAGCAGTCTGAAAAATGACGTCATAGCCGATACGTGTTAGATTCGGGTGGAAACTCGGCGGAATTCGTGTAGTGACCTTTGTTCAAAAGCGATTTACTCACAATTTTCTGTGTGAACATATACTATACTTGGTATCATTCGAAAGGGCACTTCATTGCGGTCAGTTTGACACCATTGTTATCTGCGCGCAATGTAGTGCACGCATTAAACGCGCTATTACGTAATGCATAGTAAATTCATCATTTTTGGCGATAACTTTGCGCTGACGTTATTAAAATTTACCAAACTTGGCAAACAGTTGTCACGTATATTGATGCATGTGTCTGGGAAGTTTCATTGACGTAGATATAAGGATCGTAATTTTAGAGCAAGTTTAAGTTATTTTGGAATTTTCTTGAAAATGGCGAATTTGGAGGGCATTTTTCTCAAAGTCGGTCAGTGTTAGGGTATATAATTTTGTATATGGCTGGAAAGGGCATATCTTCAAGTATCTAAATCCAAAAAAGGGTACGGATTTGCCAAGCCATAATGGAGATACGGCCACAGAAAGAAAGCCAATTCTCAGAACTTTAGAGGGCGCTATTTATGTTTTGCAAAGCCATTGGAGCTTGAAATTTGGCATGGCTATGTGCAATTATGAGATAAAGATACTGTGAGAATTAAATACAAAACAGAATTTATATGAGAAAGTTATGGCAGTTTTAGATTATTTAGGGGTCCATTTTTCAAGAATTTGAGAGATTTTGGACGGTGTCGGTTTCAGATGTAAATTTTGAGTACGAAGATGGCATTTTGAAGGCCAGGTTATACGTCGCAGATGAAAGAACACCTCTTAGACTATCTAGAGGAATTTGTTAGAAGTTTATAGGATCTGGGATAGTGGAGATAGGAAGGAAGACAGAAAGGCCTTAAAATGGACCAGAAAAGGACAAAATGGTGCCTGGACGGTCATGCATGAGTGATTACGAAAATCGAAGAATGTAGTGACCTTGATGAGATGTTAGAGACTATGCCTATGAAATTTGAAAGGAAAAGGACATGAGGAAAGCACCTAACTAGGAATAACAAGCACTATGTGCAAAACGAATGCGATTTCCTGACGATAAGGATAAGGAAAAGGAAAAGGAAAAGGAGAATATTAATGGGGCAGAATGTGAACGAAAACAAGGCAATGACGAAGGTCGTCATTGCAATTAGTATTCTTATCTTCACAACCAGAAGGGTGAACAATTAACTATACCTGTTACTAGTGTCTTGGCAGATCATCGCTTTCCCTGCCCTGCCGCTGCAAATCCTTGAGAGGTAAAACGAGAGAATCTACAGGTGTTTGACGGCTGCCACGGCCATTGATCAAGTTTTGCTTGAAAGCGTCCGGTCCCAGAACCTTGTTGATATTCTTCGCCTTGTTGGCAAACGTCTGTTGATCATTCTGGGAGGACGATTGGGGTCCTAGCAGATCTGTCTCGGGGTAGCAAGTAGTCTGATCAGCACTGGCTTCCTGTAAAAGATTGAATAATTTAAAACCATAAAGACATGTTGCCACTGCAGACCAGTTTAAAAGTTAAAGGTATATATCAAGCTTCCTATTTCTGCATTAGATGTGAAAAGAGAGTACACATATGTACATGACGGCTAGTAGTGTTATCCCCAAACTGTTTGTTTGGTTTTATTAATCTGTATAGATTGCCCTTATATTAATTTACATGCACAAGTGGTCACAGCATTTATTTATTTTAGTTGAGGTGAATCTAGCCAAGAGTTCCCATCATTTTTATTTTGAAACGGTGCCCTGGATCCTTAAGACAAAGTTTGTGTGGGGGCCTGCCCATGGTTAGATCTTCTCCTCTCCTACAAAAGACCCCTTTACTACTTTATCTAATTGTTGTTGTTCTTGACATGAAAGCTTGCCTGAGGCTTGCTCGATAAAGCAACAGGTAATATATGTAGACTGGATTCCAAGTATTTCAATCATTGATCAAGGGTTTATTAAATAACTTTTCACTACGTCCCCAGGAAGGAAACATCTATAAACTTGAATATATTGGTAAACCAGTGTATTGCATGTATTTTATAAGATGTGCTTTTGCCTTTATCATTTAGTCCTCGTACCTGCATCAATGGCTCTTCTAGAGATGACGTCTGTTCCAGGGTGCCAAGTTGTGAAATCATTCCCACATCCTGGGAGTTAGATGAAAGCTGTTGAATAATGAGGTTCTTGTTCTGCTGCACATCAGCTTTGAGAGAAACGTCACCCTGACTATCCTTCTCCGAGACTACTGCATCTGTTTCGTGAGTCAAGAGATGGCGCTTCCTCAGGTAGTTATGGGCAAAGGACTCTCTGCAGAAAGGATAAGAATAGGGTTTTCCGCTTGTGTGGGAGAAGTTATGAACGTGCAAGCCACTAGAGTATCTAAAACTCTTTCCACAAATCTCACAAACGTAGGGTTTCTCGCCGGTGTGTTTTCGCTTGTGGGAGTTGAGTGCATTGAGGCTATGTTTCCCCTGTCCGCAGATATCACATACAAAGCGTCTGGAAGAGTGGATCTTTAGGTGATTCCGAACGTCGCTGCGGGTGCGGAAGGCTTGTTTGCAGATCTCACAGCTGTAGGGTTTACTGGGGAGGTGGATCTTAGCATGCCGCCTAGCTACTCGAAGCTTGCTGAACATCTCTCCGCAGACGCCACACTTGAACTTCTTTGTGTGGGTCGTCTCGTGCTTGTCAAGGACGCGGGCCTCGAAGAATGCTTTCCCACAGACTTTGCACTTGTGGCTTTGCTCACCAAAGTAAGTAAAAAGATGCCTTGGAAGATTTTGGAAATCCTGGACAAATTTCACAAAATATATTCCTCTTGGCTCTCATGTTCTTCCTTTTAGTAGTCGGCTGCACACATCGCATTTTAATCGTGACCTCTTCGCACCTTTCTTCATGACTGTAGGAGTTGTGTCTTGATCACTCTCCTCCCTGTACTTGGAACGTATGGCAGCTGATCTCTTACTTTTGCAACAGGTACGTCTCAAGGGTGGTCCCATATTCTTTGAGGTGCATCTCCGAGGTGGATATTGGATCTCACAAACATGCGTCTATCATACAGAAAGATGATTATCTGGAGAAGAGGGATTTTAGCTTTAGATTTGCTGATTTCGGAAATTTGGATGGATGATTCTCTAGTATACTCCAAAATAAAGTAAATCGGATAAAGGCCATAAAGGAGACAATTTTGTGAAAAACTTTGCTAAGACCTTGATTTTTCAGTTAAATGCCATAAGTCACTTTAAGCTCATTCATTTTCTATGGTCGTTGCCTATTGGGGTAAATCGCCCAAGTGTTGCTTTGTGATTTAACACCAATCAGTATCTATCCAATAGCTAGACCATTCCGAGCTGTTTCTCATTGGTTAAGACATTTGTAAAGCCAATTCTCCAAGGATCTGTAGTAAGAAATACAAGTGAAATTAAAGAAAAAAATTAGTTTAACATGTTTTATTGAGTATTTCTGGCCAACTAAAATATTATGTACATCCAACATAAATGTAGATACTTTTCTGACATTAGTCTTTTTAATTCAGATCTAGTACAGTGGAAAATAGGAATAACAATGACATTGGGACCATGAAATGCCTTGTTATATATATCAGGGTAAAAAAAATTCGAAAAATATAAAGAGCTGATGGGACTAGCAATACCTTGTTACATCGAGTTAAATTTTAAAGTTGATACTCTAAGACAATCCCAAATACTGAGATAATTACATAAATAGAAAGCTTTTAACCTCCATAATAACATCAAATGGTGTCCACCCGACAAAACAAGTTTAGAATAATGAATTTATTCGAGTAAACTCTACCAAAATATCCAAGTCTGAAACCCGGAAGTGCACGTAGAGTCGGGCCTCTATCCGTGACGTCACGAACGGGAGTCATGGGCTCAGTGAGAGTGAATGGCAGTGATATCCCTATGTAAATGCTATCCTGTCAGAGCTTAGATTTGTTGTTGTTACGGAGTATATTTGATGGATTTTCTGTTTTCATTTGAATGAAGAATAACGAAGCAACATTTTCCAGTCGCTGATTTCTTTTTATATCCTCATATTCACCTATTTGGTAGAGATTTAAGACGAGTTTACTGCTTAGGAATTAAAGTTAAATCGTGCACTTATGAATAGGCGGATGCATTATATTGTCATCAGATATACATGAGCAGTTTTGTAAAACGAATATGTCTAGAACTATGATAGTACTTATCATAGATGTGTGTGACTGCCTCAAAAAGGATACAGTACCAGTTAAACATTTTATGTTGTAAAATATCAAACTTGAACGAGATCATGCAAGCGCGCTTCCTCTATAATATTTTGGCGAGTGATGCGGCTCTTGCATGAACGTTCGTGGAGCGAGCAGAATCGGGAGGTAAGACCAAGCCGCTGCTCTAGGCGCTGCTTGCTTGTGATGGAACGTACGTGCGCTAGTTATATGTTTATCGGCAATTGCAAGAGAATGAAAGCGACGTTGCCAGCTAAGAAAAACAACTAACAAAGACTTGCTCCTGACAACCGGTGTCAGAATTGGTAGATGAAGGATGTTCAGGGCCAAGGAAGGCGAAAGACATGGGAAAAAGGAAGAAGAAACCATCGGGAGATCGCTGTAGTGTATGGTAATGAACTGTGCATGGGTAGACAGCTACTGTTTACTCCGTGCCTGGGCCGATTTCAACACCAAAACAAAAATTACATGGTGAAAATATCGACTAATAGCACATCGTTGGCATGTATATGTCATAATTTTTAAAAGGGGAATTGATATTAATACTATGAAGTACTAGGGGAAGGTAAAGAATTGTACATAGAATTATGATTTATTAGACTTTTCAGCCTTTGAAACAAAAATATGCAGAAAATCGTATCACTCTGCACATGTTTGCTATGGAACATCCGGGTACGTGAATATACTCTCTCCCGGACGTGAGGTCATAAATAGTAGACCAGCGTCGTGACTGATTTTCTATGCAAAGAGAGGCGGATATTTTAGACATTTCAATTGAGGATTTCGAGTAGACAGAATTTTTTGTGATATACTAAGTAATTGAAAAACTTAAAAATAACATAAACTTGCCGTAGGTAACAAATTAAGGGACATTTATTTGCTTAGAGTATCAACTTTAAATCTAAAAAAATTGGCAAAATTTCAAAAATCTTATAGTACCTAAAGTTACCCCCCCCCCCCCCCCCCCCCCCCCCCCCCGAGACGAAATTTTGATAATTTTGATAAAAAGATGAGCAAATTTTGCAGTCTTTTGCCTCCTCCCCCAAAAATATGAACTTATCGAAAAGGGTCTGGAAATCTATATTTTGAGAGAAGATCTAAGTCTTTAAAATTGTAAGTGAAAAGTGGTACCAACTAGGCAACTACCAACTGCAACTGAAATTGACACTATGCTTTGCTGGAGTGACTGATTGTTGATATTTTGGCTATTTAATTTTGCCGTAGCCTACGTTGCAATTATCTTATATTTGATTGATCACACAAATTAAAGTTTGATTTTTTTTCTTGACTTTTTCTTGAGGTTGCAGTGCATTCCAATCTGACAATGAACTTTGTTGAGATTGCCATAAGATAATTTTTTTAGTTGCACCAATTTGTAGTAAAAACAACTCACTCTGCAGTCCTTTGGGGAAAATAATAATTGATCTAAATAAATTTGTGTAGATCACATGAAAAATCACATGTCTAAATGCTTTTTAAATGTCCGCTAACCTCGGTCACCCCATGAGCCATGACACACTGCTGCACTGATTCAGTGATTTGGGTCACGAGTCTGGGTAAACAAAAATAAAGCCAGTGCACCACTTTCGCTTTTAAGTTTTGCCTTTGGATTATATAACAAAGTCAAGTGTATGCATCGAATAGCACTAATCGTCTTAAACTCTTAATTGTATACAAATTTATTACGTGTAAACTTCTCCAATACCATTTTAAATCAACGCTCCCGACGCATGGCCCGATACACCATTATCCATACACTCAACTGCCCCGAAAGTTGCGAAACGCGAAGGCTGGATGCCGCAGCGCTGGATACACGTGCACTGTATGTACACATTTGCGTGTAAAAGTCAATAGGGAGGATTGAGGAACCCCTTGAACAGAACTACATACAAACTACATACAAAAGTTAAAATGAAGTGGATGAGTAGTGGCTTATTTCACTAAAATGCCGTGATGTTATGTAAACTCTTGTGATATGTAATTACACTACTACGAACCTGCCAACACACTTGCAGTGCCTATTCATATAACAAAATGTGCCAAAAGAATATTGTCTGCCGATACACCTTTTGCATGGCCTGGAGTTGAAGCGCATGTGTGTGCACTCAAGTTGCGATGAAGTTGACGCAAAATAAAATGCATGTGGTGCAGGTGCGGAATTCATCCCGGGTCGGAAAAATAGTCTGCAAACACAGACGCTTAACTTGACACTTCACCAGAATTACTGGAAGCCTTAAGCAGAGCCGGCCCCTACATTTCTGTTAAGTTTTATTTCTGGTTCTATCCGGAGCCTATTGTAGACTCATTTTGACATTGGTACACACAAATTCAAAGAGTATCAAGGGGTTAATGTGCCTGTAAACTATAAGCAGTAGTCATTTGCCACTCACTTGGAAACCCCTCCATCTCAATGATCCCCTCATGCAGCATAGTCTTAGTCTAGTCCCTCTTGATCGACGCATACTAGCTTGGGCGTTGGCAGAAGTCCTATACTGTATACAGTGGATCGAAGGGGGTTGGTAATGCCCCCCCCCCCCCAACAAAGAAGGGGGGGGCAGTTTTGTGTCAGAGAATATTGGTGTAAGTAATTAAGGCACGGGTGAGGGGCTAATTATTGGCAATAAAGGAGTTATACGTGGTATGAATTCCAAACAAAGATAAGAACATAAACTTACCAAATTCAATCTTCAATAAAAAGTCTGCAGCACTAAATTAAAACTCTTTCTCAGATAGATGAAAGTTTTTACAATGCGAGATGATATCCAATATGAGAATTCCTCTTCAGTGGTGGATAATTGCAGCTGATAAAACCTAATGTAGTGCAGATGAGTTGTAGTAAACAGTTGCATGAAACTAGCAGAAATTATCTTGCTTCCAAAGTCCTTCTTTCTACTAAGATTGCACAAGGAAAAAATCTACTAAATTGTGTCATGTCCTTTTTCTAGACTGTCTCTTGATTGGCCAGTTGTTGCCATGACACAAAAACATCTACTTGGGTATAGTAGTGAAGGAATTTCAACACCAGGTGAGCTTGCCTGATTTATATTCTATCGAGTCGAAATGTTGAGTAGGCTGACCAGCAGTGAACAAAAGAGATGACATCAATAGGAATGCTGGTATGTTGATTATGAAAGGCAAAGTAAAACAAACTGTGATGGAATGTAAATGTTTTTAGAATTGATGATAAAATCCGTTACAGCTAGCTCTATCATAAATTTATCTGACACATGTTACACCCCACCCCTAACAGTAGCCTAAATAGTCAGGGAGGGTCTTTTCGTGGTGATGTTACTGGTTAGTGCATGCGGACAGTCATCTCAACAACATAATTATAGACTATAAAACATCACCAACAACACACCTTCATAATTAGGACTATTTTTCATAATTTATTCTCTCACTGTGACAGAACGAAAAAAAATCCTTAAATCATGATAGCTACTTATCACGGGGTCCCCCCCCCCCCCCCCCCCCCCATTTCCCAGCGGTGGCCTTCCAGTGGCAGCCAGTCTACAGGTTGATGCAGGCGCGTACACAGAGGGGGGGGGGGTTGGGGGGGTTAACCCCCCCCCCCTTTGGTATTTTTGTGTGTGTAAACCCCCCTCAATTACCCTAAAACCCCCTCCCCCCTTTTGGATTTTTTTACTCATTTTTTTTAAATTTTTTATTACAAAAAAAATATTCCCATGGCTGACCTCAAAAAGATGACCTTACCCCCCCCCCCCCAACGGAGCAAAATGTCAAATTTTCAAATTTCGATACCAAAAAAAAAAAAAAAAGTGTCCTCTTACCCCCCCCCCCCCCCTCCCCCCCCCCCCCCCTCCCCTTGAAAAAATCCTGCGTACGCGCCTGGGTTGATGGCTTTGGCCTTATTTTTCTCCCCGAAATCCCCTTCTCCAGGGCAGGAGATGGAGTGCCCTCCTCCTTGATTATAGGCCTATATACATCGATGGCTTGAAGATAGAAGAGATTGGAAAATAGTAGCCTACATTAAAGATTGTTCCACCCCACCCCCCCCCCCCCCAGGGGTGGCAGAGCGACTTCCAAAGTGGGGGGGGGGGGGCACCAAGAAAAAAAGGACACTTTTTGGAGAGAAAAAAGGGCACATAATATTCAAATAATAATAATAATAATAAAAAAAACGTTACTTATAAAGCGCTTACCACCGAAGTCTCTAAGCGATATACACACAAAATAGACTGATATACAATTACATCTTATACAAAACTAAAAATGCAAATAGACATACAAATTACAATACATATGGAATACACGTCAAAGTGAACAGAGTAATTAATCATCAAGCGCAATTTTGAATAAATGTGTCTTGAGACTAGTTTTGAATAGGTTAACAGTTTGACAGTTTTTTACATTTAAAGGTAATCTGTTCCAAAGTTCAGCAGAAGCTTTGCGAAAGGAGCGATTACCATAAGAAAGAGTTGACACAGAAGTAGATACGAGGTTTAATTGTGAAGATGACCGTAAACTGCGGGAGGGTTTGTATTCCTCGATTAATTCTTGCAGATAAATTGGTGCCGTTTCATGAATGCATTCAAAGGCAAGTCTCAAAGCGACAATATATTATCAAAAGTGCAAAGGGCCACTTCTCAGACCTGAAAAGGGGCGCTTACTAGAGATTTAAAAGGGCACTTATGATAATGGAAATCCAGATCCATGGGTCATGACACTGGTTCAATGAATCTCACTCGGTCAGTGCAATGCAGATACACACAAGTAACATGGTAACCATTATTTTTTTTTGTCCAAATTACCATCCCTAAACAATGATAAACATAGGGTCAACAAACAATGTATTTCATTGTTTTGGTACCATGATTTCCACGGTTACCATGGTGGATGGTAATTTAGACCAAAAAAAACATGGTTACCATGGTACTTTTTGTAAGGGATTGCACCACATATTAATTCACACTTAATTTACAACACAAATTCCAATTTACAACATGAGCATCGGTTTAATAAAGTCTACCCTCCACTTTCGAAAATGTTGGTCCCCCATGATCCCCTTTTTCTTATGTTAATTGAGAGCTGATTTGATGAGATAACCACCTGTCAGTGACCTTGCAGGAACGTCTAATCCCCCTTGCCAAACTAGTACAGACGAGATTTAAAGCTTATCTGCCATAGTTTACAGGAGGGATTAGACCGCCCTACAAGGTCACTGGACAGGTGGTTATCTCATCAACTCAGCTCTCAGTTAACATAAGAAAAAGAGGATCATGGGGGACCAATGGTCACCGATTAGGCGTTGTTTGTTATAAAGAGGGCGCAAGTAGCTACAAGTAGTGCAGTGGGCCTTTAAAAGAAGGTACGGGTTATTATTTATATTTCTACTTATACCCAACCAAACCAGCTTTTTCACTTGATGACTGCATTATGACCCCACCAAGGCGCCTACGCAGGGGGGGGGGGGGGGGGGTTAAATCATAATAAATATAAAATATAAAATATTAAAAAATCCTAATGGATGACCTAAAAAAGATGACCTTACCCCCCAACGGAACGTAATGCTGATCGGTCAAATTTTCAAATTTCAGGACAAAAAAAATATGACAACTTCATGGCTACCGAGTGATAAACGCCAAGTGCAAAGGCAATGGAATCCAAGTTCGCAAAGAACATGTTAAATTGTTAGATAAGTTGAAATGAGGAAAGGCAGACGCCTAAGAAGACGGCTATATATGATAAACTGAAACCATACGGCGTAAATATTCATAATTCAATTATTTAAGACTAAAACAACAACAACAACATTATGGACTGCATCAGCGGTTGTATCGATGGATTTGCACGTAAAATAATATGGCTTGATGTGTATTATACGAACAGCATTTGCATGATAATTTTGGGAAGTTTTGAAGTAGAGCTTTACAACAGAAAATCATTTCTTGATATCAAGAAATAGGAATAAATGTAATTACAAGGCCTATAGACTCTATATTCGCTGCATACATGCTCGCCATCTGCGGTGTCATCTTCAGTTTTCAATGATAATATTTTTGTCCAAGAAGATCCAGTACATAGCCCTCTTTCAAGTAGATCCTTGAAAAGGTCAATCCAATAGTCTTTGTCCTTCTTCCCATCATTTAATTAAATTGCAAATATTACAAATAGGGCCTTGAGAATAGTTTTGGATGTAGATTGTCGATATAGCAAAAAAGATATATATAATAATGTAAAAATTGATTACATTAGCAATAAGATTAAGAAGGACTTATTGATTTTAGTTTTTAAACGGATCTATAACCTGGCACCATCATCTTTATGTTAAAAAAAAAGTTCTTATCCATTAGCTATGCTAAGCTGAAAGCATGTTTTTAAATCGGCGGGGGGTTGGGGGTTGAACCCCCCCCCCCCCTTTGGTATTAAAAAAAATATATATATAATTTTTTTAATTAAAAAGAAAAATTTAAAAAAATAAAAAATTATACCAATGGCTGACCTAAAAAAGTTGACCTTACCCCCCCCCCCCCCCCCCCCAACGGAGCAAAATATCAAATTTTTACAAGAACAAAATATAGACAATAGAATACCATTCGCGCCAGCCTTGTATTTTGCAGCATTGCAAAGTTACACCAACATCTTTGACACAAGAACGGTTTTTGAAGCCTTTGCCCATTGGTTATAATACATGCGCGCGAGCATGCGTTCGAGACTCGCCAAATTAGACACCACTTTTCCATATGCCTTCCCCTCTCTGTCTCCCTCTATTGACACTCCTATACACATGGCCTATTTTATAAACCCATTGATTAAGCCTGTATACATACACAAGGAGGAAATATTTTCACTCTGGACTAAGAGTGCAATATCGCTTTCCTCTGGTCACGGAAACAAATCAATAATCCATTCATTGCATTGGTCAAAGAGAATGCAGGACAAACCGCAGCGCGTCCTTTGTTAATTGACTGTTGGTCAAACTAGGGATGTGATGTTTACATGGCGATCCAATGTTTTCCATTTTAATTAGCTAGTTTCCACAAGGTCCGATTCGATTGATGTCATTCGTGGTATATTATCTCCCTTTACATGATGACAATTACTTTCGACAATTCGACTCAGTGCCCAATAGACGCATATTTCAGTAGGTTCAAAGCTATTGGAACTTCTTTTAAAAGCTGATTTCGAAAATCTTTGCGACCATGTTCCTTTACAACGAATATAGTGCCAGACATGCAACATGTCCTATGGATTCGTGGACAACTTCTTCATTGGGCTTAACCATCCCCGGACAGTATCACCTGGACAATTATCCCTAGGATATTACCCCTAGTTTGACAATAACTTTCCAGACAAATACGTACAGCGAATCGATACCGGTTATCCAAACCCTTAAGGTCACCATCCGGACAACTATACACCTAGGCACTTACACAGGACATTTACCACCGAAGTGCCCTAGCTAGGAAACACACCAGATAAAAGCCAACCTAGCTAGGGCAATAATCATCCGGACAACCTTATCCCATGACAATTATATCACATTTACACACACTTATACCAGAAGAGTATACATTTTCTTACATGCATGCCGATTATTGCCGTGCACTGTAGCTATCCGGAGTTAATGGGTTAAATTGAATATTATTATATTATATTATTATTATATTATATTATTATTATTGGTGATCAGGTTCGAATACACCAGTTCACTTTCATAATTATTGACATGTTATGCATCCATTTAAATCAAAAGTTCTTCTTTACAACCTAAAGGCTTGCCCGACATACCAATAAATAATGTATGCAGACTGGATTCCAAGTTTTGTAGTTAATTCATTAATGGCAGATAACAGAATACCTCGTCAACAATAGGTTCCCAGGAAAGAAACATCCATTAGTTGTATAATAATAAACCGGTCTATTTGCGAAGTTATATTGAGAGGTAGCAGCTGTCATCAAGGGGTAACTGTCGTTTTTCGAAATTCAATTCAATTCATTTTATCAACGATATAAAAATAACATAATTAGATAGAAATCATAATCATAAACAAGGCGAGATATGTTGACATATTCATATATAAAGTTAACATTATCGTTAGGGGCAACCAAAAAAGAGATCGAGATCTTGTAAACTGGTGCTCCTTTTACAAAATTAACAAATTACAAGTAAACAGTAATAACGATCACACGCAGACACACCCAACACACCCTACATACACACACACTCCTCACCCTCTTTACTCTAACAAGATAGGGAGGAGGAATAGAGATGTATAGTGTACATAATTATATGAGGTAAATTAACATTATTGAAAATATAGAGATCAAGATGTATATTTATCAATAAAGTGATGAATATTGTTCTACATACTCAAGGAGTTAAAATTTGATACACCCCAGCTATTGACCTTTTACATTGACTATGATAGGAAAAAATAATGATTCACGGGATTTATAAATGAATCTTCTTTGAGGGAAAGAAGTTTTAGCAAGCAGTTTGAACTTCTCAATTCTTCGTTTCAGGCACTTTGCCCTCTTGCGAGCACGATTGTCCCGTCGCGTTGACGTTCTAGCGTAGCCGCCACTTCATGAATATTCATTAGCCACTTATCGGCCTTAGCAACCGTCCTACACAACGCATACACAATAGGTCCCAGGTCACAGTGTTCACTGATTGCTGTTGGTAGTAACAGGGTGGAGAGCGTAGCAAAAACCATTCACTCGCCCAGCTTGTAAACCAGACCGCGAAACATAATAGTTACACGAGAAACATATATATGTTTCTGCGTATACTTTCTTATTTTCTAGCATTTTATTCTTGATATTACTCTTTTATTCCGACTAGGAGTATAATTTGAACTTCAACTGACAGGCGGTTGATTTTGATGCTTTGATTCGATATTTTGCTGAAAAGGATATATAAGAACAGATTTAACGAAGCTTGTTTGTGGGACGTGTACTCGTGTTGACCCGACCTTCATCGCCGAGCCCCCGCCTGCGAACACCTCAAATACCACCACTCTGCAACGCGGCGTGGAGCGCATTTCTGTCGGGACGTCCTACTAGTATTACAAATTACTATGGCAACGACATAGAACTTGGAGTCTTGACGATTTATAAGGGAAACGCTTTGTGACGTTGGAGTTAAATAATTCTTCGTTCTGTACTCAAAATCTTGTGAAAACAGACAATTTTAGCCAAGATGCCTGCTTCGAGAAGTATAGGAACTGCTGGCAGCATCGACACGGATATTCTCAACATCGAATTTCCAAAGTTTACATGTATTTGTGAGATATGCGACTGTGGGTGAGTAATAATAATAATATATAATATAATATAATATAATAATTTAAGATTTATATAGCGCACTTATCTGGCTATAACGACACTCAAGGCGCACAAAAAATATTCACTACTAATATTTTAAATACAAATCAGTTTGCTTCGTTGTTATCTCTAATACATTTCACCTGTTAACTTTATTTTCTGGCGATTCTGTGAAACATTTCCCGGATGACAAATTTATTTCTTCTTTTTTAAAATAAAAATAAGTATTATGATAAAGCGGATAAATAAATAAATATGACAATAATGTTATTTTCTTTCTGGTATTACTATAACGACGACAGTACAGAGCAAAACTATTTTCACCAGATTGATGAATATTGGTGATCATCATCAAAATTGACTGATTGTCATTATGATAGTAATATACAAAATGTTAGTTGTCCGGAATAAGTATGGATTTAATGAAAACCGTTTCAAACTAAGATATGTATTCGAAAGAGAAATCAAACACAGAATTGCTGTTAATCAGGAGCTTAAAAAGCCAGACCAAAGGTTGCCAAAGAAACTGTTACAAGAACTTTAAATGAAAAGTAGCAAAATATTGTATAATTGAGAAAATATGTGATTTCTATTGATAACATTGTACGTCAATTGTATTTGTTCTCACAACTTTATTTTGATGTTTGAATGTAAATAAACACCTCATTAGAGGCACCAAAAAATAAAATAATGATAGTAATAAATTACGACAACCAAATCTGCAAAGCGCTTAGAGACGGCATTTCGTATCAAGAGCTATCCAGAGTTATCATTATTATTATTATTAAATAAATTTATTGTCTTGTCCTGCAATGTCCCATAACAAAATATACAGAATAACCCTTGATATCTAATTAGGCCCTATATAATTGCAGAATCGTAATTCACTATGATTTTCTTAATGTACATGATTACTTGTACAATTACTTTGTTTACAAATATAATTTTGTACGCATACATGTAGGTAGAATTATGTTTACATATACATATATTTATCGTGAGTATCATATAAATAATCGTCATCTGTCACCCGTAAGCCATAATGGGGAACCTGATTATCAAAACAAAACTAGATTAAAATATGTACAATGTTTACCGATACACTTGATTTATCTTAATTGTTTCGATGATATGCCCCATGCGTCGTGTCAATGTATATTCTTGTGCACATATTCAATAGCTCTATACTCTTATCTTCAGTGTTTATTTGAGAATACTGCAAACACACTTTTGGGATATTGAATATCCGATAAGGAATAATTGTAGATATATACCGATGGGATAACTTGAAGATGACATCTTTGACAAGGCTGTCTTATTAAACAATTGATTCTTATTATTCATTAATATTAAAAAATAAAACATGTACATATACCTTAATAATACAGGAACTTCAAACACAAACCACTAATCTTTGTGCCCCTGAATGTAATTGTTAATGTTCTAATGTTCTGTCGGGTATTTCGACCGTTAAATAAAGTTATTTAAAATATTTCTTCCCCACAATTCACTCAAAGTGATGGATCTGATGGTATTATCTTGTATTCTAACATGCACACGTAATGACAAGCTTATACAAACATATAAACCGCTTGAAAATATTCATCATCCAAAGTATACCATTCAGAGTAATTCAGACTTTCAGAAAAGAAGAATCTATTGCAGTCACTGCACTAAGTCTTGAGGTATGCCTTGTCATGATAAGCAGCAAAAATAACAAAATACCTTTAGCCGAAAGATGACAGTCCATGAACATATTTTACAGGGTAGTGAATATTATTGAATGACACGATCGTACAAACTTTCGAGAAATCACCTGAAAAGTAATTTCAATACCATGTATAGTTTATTCCATACTATAAATCGTGTTCGGATATTGGGTTATATAATTATTGAATGTTTCATATTAATGTTAGCATATTTCAATGGATGTTGACTAGTATACTGAAGTTGCCCCCACCGAACTCGGTAGATGCATTTCCCGATTGTTAAAAATAAAATACAAACAGAACGATCTCCAACATGTATGGGTTTCGTACTCTAAACAAACACACACTGTAACTGGTAGCTAAAATGTTAGTGTTGACTTGTAAATTTGTTTCTGTGTGGGTATCACCAAGTTGTCAGTATTCAATATTGACATCGCCCGACTCGTACACAATCACCGTAGTAACTGCTATAAGCCTTTAAGAAAACACACCCTCAATATGGAAGGGATTAATTATTTAGATCTCCCTCTTTTCAACCAGAAGTAGGAACCTCGAGAAAAAGAAACTAAAATAAAGAAAAAAAGAAAAAAAGAAATTTAAACGACAAAGTGACAGGCAGTTTGTGAAAGTATCATAAAATGTATGCAGTATCGGACATACTAGTGGGAATAAGAAGAATGTATCTTTGAAATTAATTAAACTGTATCCAGTACTCTCTCTCTCTCTCTTTCTCTTTCTCTCTCTCCTCTCTCTTTCTCTCTCTCTCTCTCTCTCTCTCTCTCTCTCCTCTCTCTTTCTCTCTCTCTCTCTCTCTCTCTCCTCTCTCTTTCTCTCGCTCTCTCTCTCTCTCTCTCTCTCTCTCTCTCTCTCCTCTCTCTCTCTCTCTCTCTCTCTCTCTCTCTCTTTCTCTCTCTCTCTCTCTCTCTCTCTCTCTCTCTCCCTCTCTCTCCCTAGGCTACTCCCTATCCCCTTTCTTTACTGTAATTTTTTTAATCTCTTATCTAGCTTTGTTACGTCACTGTTATACTGTAACATAATGCCAATGCTCTTATAGATACGTTTTGAAATACAACTTCGAGAACCGTAGTTCATAATAATGTATTTTTTGCTTGAATTATTATCTACCTAAAAATTATTTTTAGGCTAAAAAGTAACGGGGTGATAGGGAGCACTGGCGGCGATGAATTGTATCGAAAACATGGAAAATGTATAGCAGAAAACACAACCACGAAGGATGTTCGACAACCTTCTTTTAATCGAATCATGATCTATATGTAGCCTACTCTGGCATTGAATAATAATGATGATGTCGCTAAATACGACCCCCCCCCCCCCTCTTATTTTGGAATTCGGTCTTTCTCGTCGCCATGTCCGTCGGAAATGTCATTCAAGGCCGAAGAAAAGGGTCAAAAGAGGGCACCTGCCCACGTTTCCGTTTCACCTCTGATGAATGCAGAGTTCAAACCGTACAGGCATTCATGATTAATCAATCGCAATGCATGTTGCTGTAGTCTTTACCCTTCACTTGTATTTTAAACGAAATAATTACATCATTGAATTCTGCTCAATAAGGAAAACGTAGTGAGAAATGATAGAAAGTTATGTAAAACAAAAGGAAAATCGATATCAAATTAATGCTTTGAATTGTCAACTGATTTTTACAGCTTTTCTAATCATCAATAAAAAGCTGGTGTTGGAATTGTTTGTCGTGATTTTGTCTCATGGGTTGATAGTCGTAAAGACATATGTCAAATACATGCCGTTATGATCAGGAATCTCGTTAAATATCATTGATCTTAATTTAAAGCCCCATACTCTATATAGAAAACAATGCCAATAGGTGGCCATTGGTCCCCCATGATCCTCTTTTTCTTATGTTAATTGAGAGCTGAGTTGATGAGATAACCACCTGTCCAGTGACCTTGCAGTGTGGTCTAATCCCTCCTATAAACTAGTACAGATAAGCTTTAATAAATTATCCAAAATGTGTAGTTCTGATATTTTAAAGGCCCACTGCACTACTTGTAGCTACTTGCGCCCTCTATATAACAAACCATGCCTAATCGGTGACCATTGGTCCCCCATGATCCTTTTTTTCCTTATGTTAACTGAGAGCTGAGTTGATGAGATAACCACATGTCCAGTGACCTTGCAGGGCAGTCTAATCCCTCCTGTACACTATGGCAGATACGCTTTAAAGCATGATTATCAGCTGTTGTTCTCCTTAACATATAAGGCCATCTAATAATTATGTCCTGCAATGCTATTACTGCGGTTCAATCCTGTCCAAGCGGACTCTTTGATTCATGACTCCCTCACCCATCGTCACCACCCCGCTTCACGTTGCCTAGCAACACATATCCACCTCTTAGGCGGACAAGGATGCTATATAAAACTTTTATGTTCGGCAGCCTTGAACTTCGCACCCATATATTGATTTTAGTGATGCTCTCTCTTTATGTTACTGTTGCTATTGACATTTTTCATTAATATTCAAAGTGCGAAATCCAGGCAATATTCGAGTGTAGCATTTCGTCATAAAAGCGGTGCCGACAAACATGTTGTGTTCCGGAGTCATGTCTGTCGAATGTATGAGATATTTTTAAAAGGCTGTTAGGTCGAGTAGACCTCCCAAGGCACAGAGCATGCAAACAGTAACAGATGATAACATAGAAACGGGAAAATTAAAAGAAACATAATATATGTTCATTAGGTGTCTAGAAGTCCGGAGTTGAACAATGGAAATTGATTTATGCTATGAAAGAATGCAATCATCATGATTATCAACTCGAAGTTCAATGCGAATTTGTAATCTGATTAGAACACACCATAATCATATGCACAAATATATTTCCATTTATGTTAAACTATCTTTGTTGTGGTCAGTGTGTTGCCCATATATGGACCGATACCTAAATGGGGACATTGCAGTTATATCGAGAAAAGAAAATCGCCCAGCCTCCGCTCCCTTCTCTCTTCCTCTCTCTCTCTCTCCTTCTCTCTCTCTCTCTCCGCTTAGCTTGTCCGGAGGAAACTTGGATTCGGGTAATAAAAATTATATTCATGGGGAAAAGGCATCATGTCTAAGTGGTCAAATCGGGAGAAATCGCCCCTCCTATCTGACAATCCTGACCAGTACCGTAAACTATTTCTACAGTCATAGCTAAATTTCCTTCTTCTTTTTTTTTAAATTCCAGACGACACAAGCATCACCATAACTGCAAGAGGAAACGTCGACCAGCCGGTGCCGACCGCCCATGTGACCTTAGCCACTATCAGCAGACCTTCACCGCTTATCCCAATGCTCAAAGGCAGCTGCCCCTCATCCCTCCCGCAACGCCCCGGGATCCCAACCCACCAAGAATGGTGTTCGACACCACACAGCGACACGACTTCATACCGACAGGAGAGATTACGAAGCCTCAGAAAGTAAAACCGGTAAGAAAAATGTTATAATCTTAGCAAATAGTACATTTTTAGCAGACACGTTTTCATTTCTAGTTCAAGTCAAAATTAATTGGTTTTCATTAATGTATAAAATAGTACGTTTACAAAAATTATGAAATCCAGAACAGGACTTGATCACTAAAGAACAATGCATGAATGAGGAGATAGAAGAGCTCATAAAAGGCGAGAGTCTGCTGCCACCAAAAATAAGCTATCGATAGCAAGAATGGTGGGGGATATGCAAACCATAAGGGGGGGGGGTCAGATCGCTTGATCGCCATAGGCGGGCGTCACCCCTGGTAACGTTCCTTTTCATGAAGAATAATTTCATCTTATTAAACTCTTTCAGAAGAAGAAGGAGGGGGAGGAGGAGGAGGAGAAGAAGAAGAACAATATCAACCACGTCAATAGCAAAAGAACAATTCGTCAATATTCGACTTCGTTACCATATGACATATAATAATTTTAATTCAATATTTCTGTTTGATGTAAACAGATTGAAAATTACCAGCCGACCAAAGCGCCTCTTGACGGTGAAACGGTTTACAAGGTCACGTACCCCGGTCATACACAGTTTCCTCAGATCAGCCAGGCTCGACCACCGAGCCATAAAGACTATCGGGAAAGATCGGCAAAGTTCGACCAACGAACAACGAACAAGGAAGAATACCGAGCATGGGTAGCAAAGCCTTCGGTGGCGTTCGGGGAACTCCCGTCATTTGCAGGTAAGAAACTGGTATATATGTTTTGGCAGCAATGTGACACACAAACCTCGGCCAAAAGCGATCTAATTTTTATAACAACGCATTAAATATATAAACAAAATGTTTATTGTTAAACAAAACTGGTACGTAGAAAAAGGATGAGGAAATATTCTTTTAAAAGGAATATAAACTTGAGTTGACAGGAGTATCGAATTCTTTTCTATGATTAAATAAAGTATAAGATTTTATCTCTGGTTGGTATCTGCGATAAGTTGCCATGCAATTGATATCCCATGAATCGATGTTAATATGATGTAATATCTTACAATTTTTTTAGTTATATTATATGACACTCTAAAATGATCTTTAATGTTGATTTTCGAATTCCTTTTCAGGTTCCATCTTGTATCCGGGCGATAAGCAAGAACTGCAGTCGATGACGCAACAAGACTTCGTAGAGCGACCGATTAATAAATCCGAAATGATTCGGTCTGGAGTTGGAAGCAATATCCAAGTGAGAGAAGGTATGTCATCTTCTAGATCTGTCTTCCCTTTTTTAAATGGTAGTCTTCCGTGACACGATTTTTGTTGCCTTGTCATTTATTGTCCGTTGTACATGAGGCGTTATTTCGATCGGGTAGAAAAATACCTTAATAATCGAAGCTGAAGGCAATGAGCGAATGCGCCAATATATATATATATATATATATATATATATATATATATATATATATATATATATATATATATAGCAATATGTTCACTGATAAAGTTAATGTGCATTTGGTTTATAAACGAGTTAACTCTCACTTGGTGCGCCATTGGCTGACGCAGTCTTACGTCAGGCCAATGCCGCCTTGTGCGCAACCCCCTGAAGTAGTTTAGAGTATGTGTCGTTCGCATAAACGTCACCAATTATTATTACTTCTATTCAGCCATACAAGATATAAAGTATATATCGCGCAAGGAAGCTCTCTTGTTATGTGGCGTTTTGGTTTGATAAATCACAACTCAAAAGAGTGAGTGCCACACCTAGATACACGATTCATAATTTGACATGATCTTTCATTTTCACCTTTAACAGGCAAGTTTGACCATAACACAATCCACAAGATGACGTACAAGGATATGGGCCCCGGTCACACAGCAAAGAACGCTCGTCCTAGCAACCAGTACCCCTCGGCGGCACGGAGAGCAAAGTTCGACGGAGTGACACAGTCTAGGAAAGATTTTCCCGGCTATCAGAGCCAACCGTTACCGCAGAAGCCTTGCACACCGCCTCCAGTGACAATCAGGCTCAGCATGGACTCGAAGTAAGTTTGATTGTATATAAACCATTCTACCAAATAAACAAATAAGTTTCTTTTAAAGAAAAGCTCCGTGAAGCTGAAAAAATGAATGGAAATGTAAACAAAAATATTCCTTATTGTTTAGTTTCTTGATCTTGAAATCGTATCGACTCCCTCTTAAAAACAACAAAATATCTGACTTTATTTGAGATCTCAATTCTTAAGTGCGTGTTGTCTACACGGGATTTCAACATTCGATTCCCATGAAGTTATCACATTTATTGGTGGATTATATGCGTGCAAACCATAAGAAGCTTTAGGAAAGTATAACTGTCACAAAATTAATGATCGCAAGTGAAGCTTAAAATGTTAGTTTAAACATTTGAATTGTGGTTGACTAAAGCATAGTAAAAGTTTGTATGATGCTACAAGTGTCTTAACATAATGATAATGACTATGTAATAATTAATTGCATGTTCTGTTTTTTTCATTTCATTAGAATTGATTTCGTGACGGAGAATACGCATGAGTTCCAAGGTCATGACGTCCTTTCGAACCCTAAACGTGCCACAATGAAGAAAGACTCGGACACTTACAATCCACCCACCATCAAGTTTGCGACAGACTCCAGTAATAAGGTAATTCATTCATAATGATTGTGGACTTGTGGTGCTGATTTAAATCGGTATAGGGCGTGGGAGAAGTTTCACTAACGCTCAAAGTGGCAGAGGGCAGTCACTTAATCGGCGAGATGTCTTAAACAATGTTTTGTACACCAGAGTGGTGATTCTGAACTGTCACCATGCAGTCTGTTGCTATTCCGACGTCAATATTACCGACAGGACTATTTTTAACCATGAAAAATAAGCTGTAACTGAGTACTATAAGCGATGTAATTTTACAGGCTCCGAGGTTGGAAAAGTTTTGTTAAAGGCCAGGTCGATATGTTGGCTCTCAGGTCGGCCATACAAATTGAGGTTGAGTAAGGCGTTCGCCTTATCTTTTTAGTGACAGTTCGCCGATGCTTACGCTTGAATTTCATAAAGTCTTAATCAGGGAAACCATCTGGCTAACATCCTTGTCAAGTCGGAGATATTACAAATGAATATTTAGCTGTAGAGTGCATTTTTTCAGTAACTTCGGTTTTAATTAATCTATTGTGTAATTTTCAAATAATCTGTTTTCAGGTGGATTATCGTCCGATCGAAGACAAGTCCGCGTATCTCCAACCCAACCGTCGACCGCACACCCAAGGCGGCGCCCGCTCAGCCAAGTTCTACGACCAGACAACGAACAATCGCTTCTTCCGCAACTGGGGCGCCAAGCCTCGCATTCGCTACGGCGACTTCCACGAAGCGAAGATCTACATCAAACCCCGCGGAAAGATGGAAGTGGAAAGTTGGAACAGTTCAACCTACAAGTCCCTCCCACTTGATGAACCCACGCCGAACTACAAACCTCATGACGAGCCGGTGGAGCGATCAGGAGAGCAGGACTTTACCACAATACACAAATCAACGTACAAAGGACAGCGTCCGAAGATGTGTAAGTCACAACTGTATCTGCTTCAGCAGGAGATGAGGAGACGGAAGGCTTTGAGGGACAGGCAGATGAAGGAAGGAGCGGCAGGAAACATTGGCTTACAAGCTGTTGGAAGGACTGCTCTATCTGGTACTGTCTGAAAACCACATTACAGTAAATGATATTCTCTGACGGTCAAGCTAGGACTCAACTCATCGGACGTCGAGTAGGATAATGATGATAACAAGCCAAGTGAAAGACACACCAACACTGAAATGAACATTGAAGACGCCACATGGACAACCATTACAGTGATGACGTTCGATTCGGCCAGACAATTCACAGGCATACAAGAGGTGTAGTGTCTCCCCTGTTTGAATATCCGATGAACGAAGGATTCACGCCATTGTACCTTGATAGTTCCTAGGTTCATGGAATGGGTGTGAACGCTGCTTCTGTTCAGTTGAAACAAAAAAAAATCGTATATTATGCGTCGGTCGATCTTTGATAAGTACTTGACTAGACGAGAAAATGAGATAATAAATATGATTATTAAAACCATGCAAGCTTCCAAGCAGCAATATAATTTTATAATAATGTTTTGTAAGAAAAATATAAACCGTCCAACTTGAGGTTGGTTTCTAGAAACACTCTTAATTGTTGTGGATTAAAATAGATTTTTTTACACAACTGTGAGGTTCGATTTTATATCATTCATGCATTCTCCAAACTTTAAGTTCGCTGCTGCAGTTAAAGACGTTACTGACCCTGTGGAAGTGTTTGACATGATCGGAACACATTATTTTTGTATTCATGCATTACGTTTTTGTCAATTAAGGCACATTAGACGATTAGCCAAAGGGTCGCGTTTGTAAGTTGTTCGATGCACTCTTCGGGGCACTCTTCAACCAAATCCGTCCAGCACCCGAGCTATTATAAACATCATCCGTTTTCCAATTTGAAAAAGAAATCTGTCCATTATTGTCGTGTTTTTACAAAATATATATTTCAGATTTTAATTTTCTGTGGTGAAATTGGTGTTGATAGCGATTCTAATGGTATAGCATTTAAGCACAAAACATGTATCTACTTATTGTTTAAAGAGCTCAGTATTTTCCCATACGCTATGACCATAAGTATCACTTTCGTCACCGGTTTAAGGCTTGTTCAGGTACGGCGCGGCAATACAACGGCTCTTTTTGCGGTGGTGTACCGCTGCATAACAGGGATTTTTAGATTCTGCACGACGAGAACGTAGACTACCCTTTTAAGGCAATGTGACGTCCTTTTAAGGCACTGGCAGTGACGTCAGATTGCCTTTAAAAGGGCAGTCCACCTCCTCGTCGTGCAAAATCTAAAAGTCCTTAATATCTGAACAAGCCTCTATGTTCTCATTTCTTAGATACGCAAACTTGTAGATAGTTAAGGATGACAGGGTATGATCGCACGTGGTTTATTCTTAACGAAGTTTCTTTGTTAAAATGAAGAAGAGTCTTTTCGCATTTTGTTTTCTAGGTTTCTCTGTTTTCAACTTTTTGATTTCTATGCAGTTGAATCTCCCGCGTAATTTATTGCACCGATTTTCATACGGTATATTCCATTTCCATGCATCTATTTAAAGGATTTCGATAAACTTATCAAATTTTCTATTTGATGAACTTGACAAATACCTGAATCTCTTTTGATCAGGTAGAAAAATATTTACACGTCTTTGCTATTGATTCATTTTCTTTCTTTCGGCGAGACAATTCTATTGCTAAAGTCTTGAAAGCTTGTGTGGGTTTATGAATTTGATTTTCTTAATTGCAAAAGATTGTGTTGACATAGGTGTATGAGCTATGCTGATCCAGTATTTTTTCGGCACAATTTTGACCTTTTTCCACCTTCTTTCTTTCTGCTTTTTTGATGGCTTATATCTATTTTTAGATTGAAATATATGTAAATACTTGATCTTGTATCATCTCAATATTGTAATTTCATCTCATTGAATTATTATTTTGAAAAATATTATATCTTATCTGTTCTCTTTGTTGTTGAGTGTGCGAAAAAAGAAGAGCCAATAAACTTGATTGCACTTAATTATTACATACATTAGCTTCAGTTGGTCAGTATTTTATTACATAGTGAGTTAAGTGGGAATACCTGTTTGATAAGTGACACCGGTGTAGTTGTTGATCATGGTGATGATGATGGTGATGATAGTGATAGTGATTTTGATGATGATGATGATGATGATGATGATGATGATAATGAGAATGAAAATGATTTCTGACGATGATGATGATGATGATACTGAGAATGAAAATGAATTCTGACGATGATGAGAGTTTGGATGGTGATACGATAGAGGATGTTAAAGGGTGTGTAGCATGGCAAATACTGGTTAACGCCATCCGACTTCTTTTGGACAACTGTACGTAAACGAATGGACTTGATTGGTGGTCATGCTACACCCCTTTAATGGTGATGATATTAAACGAAGAGTTGTAATAATGATAATGATCATGATGATAACGAAGAGTGGTAATGATAATGATGGCAATGATGATGATATTGATGATGATGATATTGATGATGGTGATGGTGATGATGGTGATGGTGATGAGATAGGGGGTGATAATGGTGATGACAGTGACCGCTTTGCCTTAGTCCACTCATGTGGCGGTACTGGGGCGATTGGAAATGGTCGGGGGGGGGGGATACCGTTTTTACTCTGAAAATAAAATACGAATTTACAAGGCTAGGGCTACTGATTAAGGGATGGGGTCCAGGTGTTTTTTCCTCTTCCCCTTTCCTTTCTCTCTCTTCTCTCTTTTCTCTTCTTTCCACCACACGACCAGGGGGTGGGGGGGGGGGGAGGGGTTGAGGGAAACGTGCCTTCCTTCTCCCTATTTCCACCGCTGATGTGCTGATGTTGGAAAACGTCTTACGATACCCCCGTTATAATAGTTCATCGACATTCTATTGAAAAGTATTTAACAAGAATGAAGTCAAAAGAGGATGTCGGCAAACTTGTAGCCTCAGTCTACATATATTTTGACTGGTGGTGGTGATGATGATGATAATGATTGTGGTGGTGATGATGAGGATGATGATGATGATAATACGATGAAGATGACCATGCTTGGTGACGAATTATTTTCCTCTTCTTCGATTCTCCTCCTCTTTTTCTTCTTCTCCTTCTTCTTTTTCTTCTTGACTTATTATCATTTCTATCATTAGTTTAATGTTGTTATTATCATTATCATCATTATTATCTTTAATATTTTTTCTTTCTTATCTGTCTGTAAATATTACTATTTTAACTTATTAATTTTGTACATGTCTGTCGGGGACCCTACTGGAAATAAGCTCTCGAGCTCTCGTGGGTTATCTTGTTCAAGCTGACTTAGTTTCATCTGTTATTCTTGTATATTGTATGTTTGAAGCTTGACGAATACAAATAATTCAATCAATCAATCAACGGCGGGTGGCGATGGCGATGATGATGATGATTTCTTTTTCCTGAATTAATTTCATTTTTTTCATTGTCGATTATAAACATAATACAAAATCATACTCAAATTAAAAAATGAAAAGGGAGCTACTCATGTTATCCATTGTCATAAAAAAAATCAATGAGAATGATCCTTTATGTTTGGATTATGAATGAAACTTTTAGGCCTTGTACAATCGTAGTACCCTAATATTAAAGCACATAATATGGAAATGAAGATCAACGAACAATAAACAAATTACATAACAAGGGAGAGATACTTTTTGTTAATTATATTTAACAAAATATGTTAATGGTGATGATGATGATGATGATGTGTAGGTGGATTATTACAAATTACACACAAAAAACATCATAATAATTTGGGGGAGGGCGGCAAGGAGCTAAATCCATTTTTATCAAAATTGAGCTTTTTGTCTTAAAATACATATTTTCTACATGGGAATAAATTGCACTTTATCACATTCTCAAGTTTCATCTTGAAATAAAATAAAAATTAGCTACAAAACTATGATTAATTCCAAAGGAGCTAAATCCATGAAGAAAGAAAATCCATGAAGAAAGAAATATTAACAAATTAAGCAAAAATAAAACATACTTGGTAGATTTTATTCTAAAACCATATATTATCGTTAAAGGGTAAAACAACTCTAATAAATGTACAAAGATAAACATACATTACTAAAGAGAAAGTGGTAGAATAAAAAAGGTGATTTACTCGAAAATACCCAAAGTGGATTTAGCTCCTTTTTCATATTAAAAAGTTCGCAGTGTTTGCAAGCGCGCCCCCATCGTTCGTTTTTTTTATACCGTGCACGTCCAAAGATCAAAATGGCAACAAAGAGTGAGATCGAAGACGAGGCGAGTGCGACCACTCCGGTCGAGGAAAAACCCTCCAAGGAATCGTTAAGTCAGATGGTGGACAGTGAAAGTAAAGATGACACAGATCTTGATCTGTTGTTGGACAGTAAGTGCAGATTTTATTCCCACATGAACGTTAAATCTAACGCTATTTTAAAGGGGCGTTAAGAATCTCAGTCCCACATGCTTATTTTTTCGTTGGGTAGAAATGGTTGGGGTGATGTTGGTTCTGCTTGAAATGCAACTTACACGCGGTGTACACGGAAGCGAACAATAAGGGTTAGGGCGGTCGTGAAGGTGAGGAATATTGCCCGTAACTTTTCTCTTTCCAGGCTTTTTTTCTACTTTGGCTGGGCATGCACAATCCGGAGAATTAGAATCTAGATTCTACCCCCCCCCCAAAAAAAAAGATCTGATATGACTACGAGTTGCCAATGTGATACGAGAGGGCAGTGCCCACGAGAGGGCACTGTCTCAAGATCCAGAAAGAACACTGCAGACTGGATGTTAGAAGTAAGTCTTTTAGCAGACGAATAATACAAAACTGGAACAGTTTGCCAGAAAATATTGTGGTCTTGGCAACAACGGACAAATTCAAAAGACACATAGGGTCTAGCCTAGGCCTAGATAAGCATTGGTGGGAGTATCGCTTCGATCTCCCATGACTCCACTCCTGTGCATGCGCATACACTCAGTAATAAATCCAACAGGCTAAACCTACATTATAGAAGCAGTGACCGGGAATTACAGGCCAACGCCTTCTACCCGTACTTGATGATGATGATGATGATGATTATCTTATGATGATAGCAAGTTAAGTATACCAAGGTGCACGCACAGAGTTCGCTGAACTTGGCGAACTCATTGCTTGCATCTTTTTACACGATTTGTCATTGCATTGTGGTTTTTTCCTTAAAAATATCTAAGTTGTGAACCTTATTATTTAGGTGCTTTGGGTGATTTTGACAAACCTCTGCAACCAGCCACATTGGAAAAACCAGAGGTTGCATCATCAAGTCCAGGACTCAATATAATGACTACATCCAAAGAACAGGAGGGTGAAAAGAAGACAGAAAAACAGACAAAAGAGGTTAGTATCAGTCCTTTATTTCTCAAACCTTCTTTTAAAATATTTTCATATAAGATTTTTTGAAGAGTTTCATAGAATTACTTGAAATTGCAAGAAATTTGTAGATTGAGAGAGCAGGAGAAATAGAGGGAGACAGAGAGAGAGAGAGAGAGAAACACACACACACACACAAAGAGAGACAAAGAGAGAGAGATACTCTTTATCAGTCTCATTTGATATCTACTCTTCTCTGTGAGTATTTTCCTATTGATTGATGTAGTCGTTTTTTTAATTTTCTCAGGGGCCATATATATCTCTAACTTGTATGGTATTGCTAACTTATGTTTCCCTTCTTAGAGGCCACGTCAGGGACCCGTTTCACAAAGCCTTTTTTCAATGACAAATTACAAAAATCAGTGACAAATCTGTTAATAACCAATCTAGCTTATAACAAAAATTGTTATTGTCACTGATGACAAGTTTTGTGAAATGCCCCCCTGGTAGCAAATAAGGGTGTGTTCCTACAAGCTAGAACACAATATTAGTTTTTGAACAGTCTTTGAGAAAGTCCTCTCTTATCCAATACATATTTCCTTTTTCTCTGTGGCTTTTTATTCTATTGATTAATTGTCTTTCTAGGGACCACAACTCCCGCCAAATCAGGATGCGCTCTTCGAGGCCCTCTTCAATGAGAGCCCCGGTGCCCAGCAGTCCGTTGCGGACTTTGAGAACGTCCTCTCTGGTCTGATGTCTGAGCTTGGTGAGGGTTTCGGGGGAGACCCCCAGATGGCCTCCGAGATGCAGAGGATGTTCCAGACCATGGCCGCGGGAGCAGGAGCAGGAGCAGGTGCAGGAGCAATGCCAAATCCAGCTGCAGGGACTCCTGCATCCACAAGTAGGTATTAGGGCTCTTTAGTAACGAGACAGAAGGCAAAGAGGATGGGAGAATTCACTCAACCGAGATCAAATAATGTATGCATTTCGGACGCTGTCTATTGAAATACTGTTATTCTTATCAGGTGAATGAAAAAATTTGTATTGAGGCACTTCACAAAGATTTATGCATTCAATTTGGTTACTTACGAAAATGGTCTATTGTACGGAGATACAACTCTTGCGTCAAGTCTAGGGAATGAACGCTATTATGGCTGAGAACGGTCATGAAAATCAACAAGACGGGAAAATTCTGGTTCGCACATGCACAGATTGATTATTTTGCTCGGTTACCCTCGTCTTTGCCTTCCGTCATTTTCGTAATGTAACCAAATTTAATGCATAAGTCTCTGTGAAGTGCCTCAATACAAATTATTTCATTCACCTGATAAGAAGAATAATATTTCAATAGACAAAAATCTGAACTGCATACATTATTTGATCTCGGTCAGTAGCATGTAACCAAATCTCTAACTTCAACCCTGGACCAAGTATTATACTTAACTCTCATCCTAATCCTAACACTAAACCTAACCTTAAATATAATTGTAACTCACCCCCTTTTTCTTTTAATCTTTTGATGAAATTTACTTTATTATGTGATGTTTTTTTTCTTTCTTTTTCTGTTTGTCCATTTTTGATCAAATTGCAAATTTCACAAACATATCTTATTAGTTCCAGGAGACCCTCGTGTTTGGAACTGCAATGCACTTACTTAGATTGCTGTCAATTATGATAATCTTCCTTTAACTCATTTTTCTGCAGCTAGCAACACAAGTGATTCCAACACAACTCAAACCCCGGAGGATGTGACTTCAACACTCACAGATACTCTCACCAGACTAGCACAGAATGCCAAGGACCTACAGGTATGTGGCATTTATTCCCTGATACAGCACTAGTGTCCTTTGCCAAGGCATTAATCTTCATTTGCCACACTCGACCCAGGTGAGGTAAATGGGTACCTGGCAGGAATTTATTCCTTGAAATGCTGGAGCACTGTAATGGCAGCTAGGCTAAAGCCGGGGTAAAAATTAATGTGCCTCGGAATAGAATTCCTTGACAGACAGCGCTTTAGAAATGCCTATAATTGTTAGTATTATTATTCATTATGGCCTTTTCGAGAGTGTTGATGAGAATGCCATCCCGTACCGGCACATCTAGCTAGGTATGTACTATCATAACTAGAGAAATGTGTTTAAGATTGAGGTGACCGTGAAAACCGAGGTGGACGCTATTTTTGGATTCTGAGATGGTAGAAGACAGGGTAGACAATGTGGTGCATTCGCACATCATTAGAATGACGTCCTCATGTCACAGTTCAATATCTTGACGTGCCCTTGAAAAGCCCTTATAATATGGACTTTTAGATTTGCATGACGTGAACGTGGACCGATACGTGAGACATCCTTTTAAGGCAATGTGACGTCCTTTTAAGGCACTGCCGGGCACTGCCAGTGGACAACTAATCATTCAAAATTGGTTTTCTTTTACCTCTTCTTTGCCAGCAATTTTTTGATCAATTGAATTGGATTTTCTCAGATTACTTTTGATTTTCTTTTAATTGTAAAATTAATAATGAAAGGTCTTCCAAGGGAATAAATGTAACTTCAAGGGTATTAGTTTTTATTTCAGAAATAAGCACACTATTCTTGATTTGAGTACCTGTACATTATTATCTTAGGCTGGAGCTAGTTCTTGATGGGTTCAAATCAGCTCTAGAGCTGTCTTCCCCTTATAATTAGATTTAAGCTAGATTTACACTAAAAAATGAGTACATGTAGGTAAACCCAGACCATCAGTGGGTTTTAACGGATGTCAACTATATCATAACCAAGTACCCCTCATAAACATACCGTAAATCTCTGTGTATGAGACGCACATTGTTAATATTATTTGTGACAAGTTCACAAGCACAAATCGGCGCCTTCAACCTCACCCCACAGCAAAATGAAAGTCACTTGTTTTTTTTTAAATGTACTACGGTGTCTGCTAAAGCAAAGCAAAGCAAAAAAAAAAAAAAAACTTTTTTTATTTTTTTAAAATTATTTTTAGGTCACAGCCTCATGAGTGAGTTGCCAATTTGTGTAGTGATTTTCAAAGTTTTTCATGTCATTAAAAATTCATAACTTTATAATTAGTTATCCGATTTTGCTCAAACTTTTTTTGATTGGTTTATATAATTTTTCTGCTTCTATTGGAAGTAAGTCATTTTTGGAGTGGACTTGCCCTTTAATAATAGGGGTGCGTCTTATACATGGAGATTTACGGTAGTTTTATTTTGACTGCATAGGAGGGTGGGGTGCCTGATGAAGAGCTCTTGAGATCGTTTGGAGGTATGAACATAGAGGGAGACAACGCTGAGCTACTACCCATGGTCCAGACTATGATGCAGAGTCTACTCTCCAAAGATATACTTTACCCTTCATTAAAAGAAGTAGTAGATAAGGTAAGCTCTCCTGAGAGAGAACAACCTGTTCATAAAGACAACCTGCCTGTAAAGACCACTTTTCTTGTCTCCTATGGGTGGTCTTTATAGACAGGTTTCACAGTATATATATATTTATTTAAAAAAAATTGTTTAAATTCATTGATTGATTTCTGCGTGGTTCATCACATTGCATGATATGATCAACATGAGATTAAACAAACAAAGCAATAGACTGTGAATAGGTAGTTACGTACAATTACAGTAATACTGCACGAAGAAAATTAATTATGACTGTGCTGCATTAAAAAAACATTCCTATTAAGTCATCTGTGATTTATGGTGTACAGATATATTTGTTTATTTCTGTTTTCACTTCAAATTCAATGTCGAATGAAGTTCAGGTTCAATCCAGTGAGCTTGGTAAGAAAGGGCACAAAAGCACACTGATACTCTTTTCACACTGGTTTTGCTTAACCCCGTACTTTGCTTAGCCCCGTACTGTCCTTAACCCCGGACTATTTTTGTTGGCTTTTCACACTGCAATTCCTTAGCCCCGTACTAGCCATGGCCATGGAATTCATTAATTCGCTTCACTGCGTAGTCCCGGACTATTTTTCGTTTCTGTTCTCATTCATTTGCTTGGCACCGCAATTGCGGAGTTAGCAGGAGTTAGCACCACAATTGCGAGGTTAGCCCTGCTATTTTGCAGGGTTAGTTAACCCCGTACTATAGGTGGGGTTAGCCCACTTTGGTAAAAACGAGTCTGAACAGAAAGTGGAATAGGCTTAACCCCGTACTATAGGTAGGGCTAAGACCCCCCTTTAACCCCACCTATAGTACGGGGTTAAGCAAATTTTTGCCAGTGTGAAAAGGAAGTGGAATAAGCTTAACCCCGGACTATAGGTAGGGCTAAAACCCCCCCCCCCTTTAACCCCACCTATAGTACGGGGTTAAGCAACATTTTGCCAGTGTGAAAAGAAAGTGGAATAAGCTTAACCCCGGACTATAGGTAGGGCTAAGTCTCCTTTTAACCCCACCTATAGTACGGGGTTAAGCAAAATTTTGCCAGTGTGAAAACAGTATGACTCGTGACTGATGCCAGCATTTTTGTTTATAAAGATATTTTCTTTATTTTTACTTACTTTTTCACTTGATGAGTCGATGCATACTTCATTACATTTCTAGAATATTTTATTTAATATTTGATGGTGATGAAGATGAAGGGGATGATGATGGTGGTGGTGGTGGTGATGGTTTGATCATTATGATGATGATTGTGATGATGGTGGTGGTGGTGATGATGGTCATAGTTACTTTCTAAAAGGAATTATATTATGTTGCCAGTTAATGTTCACACTATGCTTCATTTAAAAATTCTATCCTATTTGAACAGTACCAGGGATGGTTAGATGAGAAGAAACCCACACTTAGCAGTGAAGATCACCAAAGATATACGGAGCAGCACAGACTGATGTCAGCACTGTGTGTGGAATATGAGGCGGAGCAAGATTCAGACGGCAGTACAGTCAAACAGGAGAGAATGGGAAGGATTATGGAGCTTATTCAGAAGGTAAGGTCCATAGTTACGGTGGTGATGGTGGTGGTGGTGGTGGTGGTGGTGGTGGTGGTGGTGGTGGTGGTGGTGGTGGTGGTGATGGTGATGATGATGGTGGTGGTGATGGTGGTGGTGATGGTGATGGTGATGGTGATGGTGATGGTGATGGTGATGGTGGTGGTGGTGGTGGTGGTGGTGGTGATGGTGGTGGTGGTGGTGGTGGTGGTGATGGTGGTGGTGGTGGTGATGATAATGATGATAGTGATGGTGGTGAAGATGGTGGTGGTGATGATAATGATGGTAGTGGTGGTAGTGGTGGTTGTGATGATGATAATCATTAATGATTGTAATGATTATGATGGGGGTTGTGATGATGGTGATGATGCTGCTGTTGATGATACTGATGATAGTTGTGGTTGTGATAGTAATTATAAGGGTGGCACTGTTGATGTCCGAGTTGGTAATGGTGGTGGGGATGGTAATGATGGTAACAGAGCTTGTGGTAACTATGAAGTGTGGTAGTCGAGTAGTGGAATATTCTAAAGTTCACAGCTTTGATGAAACACCCCCATGCTTCCAACTTTGATTGATTAATTGAACTGGTTTATTGATTTTTTGTAATGTTTGACAAAATACAGTAATATGCACAGTAATATTCAAAATGGGAAAAATATTGCGCACAAAAAATACAGGGAAATGAAAATGAAAGATAAAGTTTGAAGTAGAGGAAGGGGGAGAAATTTAGGTGAAGTATTCAAATTAATTTTAACACGCAACGATTGCACATTATATTTACACTTGTATGAGAGCCAAAATAATGGGGTGTTTAAAATTCAGATTTATTGGCAGTAAATTTAGGAGATATGTTTCTCCAAAAAAAGAAGAAAACTTTGACTGGGCGTGTCATTCACGTACAGGTACCTAATATCATTAGATTGTATAATTGAAATGATTCAACTCAATTTATATTTCCTCAACAGATGGAGAGCCTAGGACAGCCCCCGGCTGAGATTGTAGGTGACATGGTAAGTGATCTTTCTTTTATACTCTTCAAGAAAAACGCAAAATACTGACTCGCTTTAAGATTTGGTTGCGATAAGTATAGAGGAAAACATCTTGAAAGACAACTCTTCATAATATCTCTGTCCATAATTATTTTACTTTTTGTATCTGTAGGATGTGATAGGGACGGTACTACAGTAATGTCGGGTAGCCATTCTGCTAGGTTCAGAAAGGATTTCAAGGGGAATCCCGGGAATGCAAGGGGGAATAAATGTAATTTGGTCACATCCTTATTGAACTTGTCATATCATATGATAAGGGCTTCATAACACAGAGCCTTCTCTTAAAAAAGAGTGGATGAAAATGCACCATTTCCCATGTGAAGTACTGCTTATACTTCATATTTTCTTCATATTTTGAATGATTTTTTTTGTTCATTTATATATATAATTTTGATATTATATCTGTTATGAAATTCCATGTTTTATCTTTGTATGTATTGTCATAATGATTGAAATAAAATGTCAATTCAATTCAAAATTATAATGAAGTGAGATCTATTGGGACGCTTTGTAAGATAGACCCAGAAAGTAGTGATGATACTGATGTTTGTCCAGTTTAACCTGTTTTCTAATGCAATCTTTCATTACCCTGGGATTCATGCATGTAGTACAATGTATTTATATGCAATGTATTTATTATTCCTTTTTAAAAATATTTTGTCATGAAATCAACCATTGGAGGATATATGATATACAATACAAATGAATATCTACACTAATCAATGTTTATTTGTGCTAATAAATGTTTCCATGTTTATGTTTCTCACTTGTCCATACAGAATGCCGGTATGCCTTTTGATGAGAACGGCATGCCACGGATACCGGGAATGCCTCAAGGGGACCAGTGCAGTATTATGTAATCAACCAATCAAACTTTTGAAATGACTGGAGAAAAAAAGTCTATGAAGCTTTATTTGATCGTCCCTGATGATTGGACCATCGGTACTTGAATGCCATTGGTGATCAGGGCGCCGGTACGTAATCAACTGTTGCATCATGGGTAAACGAAATTCCATTATGAAGTGGACCAGCGTGTAATCAAGGATTGCACCATGGATACCTGGAATGCTTTCATATGTATCACATCATCTTTGTGGCTTTATGGTCTCACAGATATAAGATTACCAAAGCTGCACTATGATCATAATCATTCTTGGAATCGGGAACTATGAAAGATTCTCCAAGAAACAGATCTTCTAAAATTTGGGACTCGCTTAGGAGCTGACCAGAGCAAATACAACTAGCCTGATGCAATAAATTCTAGTTAATTGGACACTGTCTCCAAAGCGATGGCATAGAAATTGACTTTGGCAGGAAAGATAGAGGGAAGGAGGGTGAGAGGAAGACAAAGATTGCTTAGCTTGAAAGAAGAAATGAAGAATGGAGTGAGAGACCACTGATAATTATATAAAACGCACAAAATAGAGATGTTTGGTGAGGATTGGTTGCCTATGTCAAAGAGAGAGAGAGAGAGAGAAAAAAGAGAGAGGGGAAGGAAGATTTCAGTACCACAGTACAGGCCATGTTCACATTTGTAGACTTGCTACTGCACAAGTCGCTGTATCACTTGCTTCACAAATCATCTGTTAATGAAATTCCATTTTGAGAGAATATGGCTTAAAGTTATTCTGAATTATGAACATGTATATGTTATAGCTTGGTTGTTTTGACCAACAAAATACATGTATAAACAAACAGAGTCTTACTGAAATTGCATTCATTGAAAAGCACAATCGTACATTCAACTTGTAAACTTCATGTTATTCTGGTGGATTGGGACAACTATCTAAATTTTGGAATCTTCTGCAACTCATTCAGGCTTGTTCACACGCCGAGTTTTAAGCGCACTTGAGCTTTAATACAACACTTCACATTCTTGTATCTTATACATCCAGTGTTTTGTGTCAGACCATTGTTGCGCGCAGATACTTATTTCCATTCCCATTGCCATTCTTTTACGTTTTCTTTTTACGTTTTCTGCCTTAAGTCAGTGTGAATGAGCTTTTCTTGGGCCATTTTATATTTTCTACCTTACTCTTATGTCAGAGATAATTAATGATCAGTCTTAAACAGTCGGTTTAAGTTTCATTTGATTTTTGGTCTTTTGTGTTCTGTCGTCAGATCCCAAAGAGTATATCTTGAGGTTTGTGGAAGATTATAATGTTGTTTCTTTTTAACCAAATTATGATTTCTTATTGTACATCATAATATATAAATTTTGTATAATGGAAATAAATTATTTTATTGAATTCAAACTCACTGCATGTATCCCTATCTTGTTTGTACATGTCATGGTTTATTGTAATTTTAGATAATATTAGTTTTCAAAATGCTAGAATCATGCATTTTTCGTGCAAAAGTAATCTTCTTTATCATTTAAAAAGGTCTAATATGAATACTAATTATGTCCCATTGATGACAGAGTTAAAGATACTAGAACTTTGCAGGAATTATGAATATGTCATGTATGTCCTATCTCTGAAATGTAAACGTTAGCAGTGTCCTCATATTCAAATTATGCAAGGAAACCCGTTTACTTGCTAGACTTCACTGTCATACACTATTGAGTGACTGACTGGCCTTTGTTTTTCTTTGGTAATAACATACATGAAAAGAGTTGTAAAGGGTACATGAGCATTTGTCTTCATCAATAACCCACTTCTTCTGATGGCCAAGATTAAACTGATTGAATCTTTGCGCAGCATAAAACGTATGACCATTAGGTACAATTGTCTGAAAATCAAGACTATTACTTTTGGGCTCTATAGCCCTAAAGTCGATTTGACAACTAATAGTCATTATTTTCCCACTTGAAGATATTTTCAAGGCCTACCTTTTTTAGGGAAGTTCTAGATTAGTATTATCTTTCAAATGCAGTTGGAATTTAACTTTTTCATTTTTTTGGCCTGCAAATGGGCCATAGTACCTTTAAGCAGAAAAGTAAAAAAAAAAAATTGTATATCAAACACAGCTTTTAAGGCATGCTTGAACAGTAAAACATAACCTGTACTTTCAATATAACTTTCTGTTTACTTTCCCAGATGAGTCTTATGTGTCTATGTCTTGGTTGTAATAGAAATTTGATAATTATAACATAGACGTAATGATTATAATAATGGTGAACATTTATAATGCGCCATGCCTGTCAAAATTGACACTCCTGGCGCAGTTGTGTGAAAATGGAATAATTATGCATTTTTTTTATTTTTCTACACATGCCCACAGCAGTAATGATATGAATACTAAACAAAGAAATAAAACATCACAAATTGGTTATTATTCGTAAGAAATATAATTTTCTGCACATAATGCTGATCAATAGTAATAACAATTTTGACACAATCATGTCATCAATATTACAGTCGACCAATAGGTGGATAGAATAAGATCATAGGAAAAGTATAAACTACAATAACTTTGTCATCCCTTTTTACATAGTTTGTAAATCGATAATTTACCTTTATATTACAGAGAAAAATAATTTTTTTTCTACTCGTCCATTTTAGAAAGCAAATTGAACCATCATGAAAAAGTTTCTCTGGGGTTAAATGAAAGTGACTCTCCTCTCTATATTGAAAACATGAATTTATTTGTTTTAAAAAATTGAAATATTCTGTACTTTTACAAATTATATATGATTTTGCAGCAATTCAGTGCAACATTTATTCAGATAATTTCATATTGGTGACACATTGCCAGTATAGATTAATACTTATTGTCCTTAAAATATTCTGTGAAGCACAGGACAGCTGAGCATAAACAACATATAATAGTGAAAGTATTGATTGGAAAGGTACCATGTATACTTAGAAAGTTAGATATAACTCCTGAATCTTTATCATAGCGATGAAGAGAGCTTACTGGACGATGTAATTTCTCTTCTCTGGCAAAACATGGCAGCTTCTCAATCTCAAGGACATTATACATACTTTCACAGGTTAATTAAACTAAATTAAACTACATATCTTGTTTTTGGTGCCAGAGGGACATTAAATATGTGTTGAAGTATATTAGTTATCGGCCTTCTGGTTTCAAACGGACGATTTAATTCTTTGCGAGAGACCAAATTCTTCCTATACCCCCATACCCAAGAGAGTAAAAAAAGGACTACACCGGGATGTAGTTATTAATATTTGATCTTCTCGTTAAATTAAGTAATGACAATTTGTTAAGTTACGTTAGTAATATTTTGTTTTCTTGGTAATTTGAGTAATGTTAATTCCGTTAGTAATATTGATTTTTTTTGGAAGTAATTTTGATTTGTGTACATGTACAGCGATTTGAAACTTTTGTCACAAGTGCTATATAAATTTTCCATATTATTATTATTATTATGAATTTTTACTAGACCATCTCCATGTACATTTCTCATACATTCGCTAACGTTCATTCTGTGGGCAATGGTGCAATTGATATAATATATCGTCTGCAGTAGGCCTTACGCATAGTGTAGAAGTGTAGAAGAAGAAGTATTTCAAACCATTCTTGCACCCAGTAACCCAGGAGAATAAATCCTGAACCTATACTACATTAAAATGAATAAACATGTACATTTTTCGTTCCATTAATACCACGATTGGAAATACAGCAACCAATATTCAGCTAATAATTATTGCGTCTTAATATCAGGTATCTTACAAAACATATTGTGTATGCATACAATTACAATTTTAAACTAGATGGAATTCGACTGCGCGCAGTCGAAAATGATGCCTCCGTCATAGAGCAATTTTACAAACCAAAACAGAAGACATTTTTCGAATTCAAGTTCAATTGTAATCCATTAACAGGTTCTCAGAATATCGTGATTACAAGCAATTTCTCATATACATATATGACCCTTTGATCTTTGACCTCATGACCCTAAAATCTACTCAGTTCATTGGCTCTGCAAGATGTCCTGAGTTAAATAGTAATCCATCTGTCAGTTCTAATGAGAATGTGTTCACAAGCTATTTTTGCATACATAATGAGCGCATGACCTTTGACCTCATGACCCAAGAATCTACTCAGTTCATTGGCTCTGCAAGATACATACATGATCTATGTTTGGCAGGAATCCATCAATCTGTTCTAATGATAATGCGATCACAAGCTATTTTTGCATACATGAGCCGCATGACCTTTGACCTTAACCTCATGACCCCAAAATCTAATCAGTTCATTGGCTATGCAAGTAACATACATGACCTAATTTTGGCAGGAATCCATCAATCGGTTCTTGAGAACGCGATCACGAGCTGTTTTTGCATACATAATGTGCGTTGTGGCCTTTGACCTTTGACCTCGTGACCCCAAAATCTAATCACTTCATCGGTTCTGCAAGTAACATACATGACTTAAGTTTGGCAGCAATCCATCAATCGGTTCTTGAGATAATGCGATCACGAGCTGTTTTTGCATACATAATGAGCCCTGTGACCTTTGACCTTTAACCGCATGACCCCCAAATCTAATCAGTTCTTTGACTTTGCAAGATACATACATGACCAAAGTTTGGCAGGAATCCATCAATCGGTTCTTCAGATAACGCGATCACGAGCTGTTTTTGCATACATAATGAGCCCTGTGACCTTTGACCTTTGACCTCGTAACCCCAAAAACTAATCAGTTCATCGGCTCTGCAAGATACATACATGACCAAAGTTTGGCAGGAATCCATCAATCGGTTCTTCAGATAACGCGATCACGAGAACGGGACGTACGTACGTACAGACGTACGTACGTACAGACGTACGTACAGACGGACGGACGGACAACCCGAAAACATAATGCCTCCGGCTACTTCGTAACGGAGGCATAAAAAATCCTTCATATGCGGGATATGTATCATCTTTAATCATAACATATGTTCTTTGCTCACATGATTCATACAAAATTTTGTTCATTTATTTAGTAATATAAATTTAGGAAAGAAGATGAAATTTACATAAAATATCAAAAGAGCAATCTTTGGGAATATTAACTATCTAGTACACTATAACGTCATAGAAGAACCCTGCAAGGTAGAACCGCACAAAGAAAGCAACACATGATCCAAGTACCTGTGAGGAAGACAGAAAAAATTGTTGTCAACAGTATATTTAACGCTACAATTGTCATGAACCTAACCTATAACAAAATTTCAATGCAAGCCCTGACCATACATATGTGGTGGCATAAATTCTGGCACACATATTGTTGGGAGTAAATGATGCCAGAGAAAATGTCTGACCACCAGAATGTGTTGTTATTGTTGAGGTTTATATGGTGCTCTTCATTCTTCTAAGATTATCAGCACCACAAACTTTCCAAATTAATTACAAGTCTAGATAATTCCTTTTAGTCTTTTGACTTCTGAGCCGGTTCATTGTTTTCTTTTGGCATTGAATATCCGGTTCCAGTCGTCATAATGTAATCTGTCATCCCTTAAATCTCATTCACACAAGGTACCATGATAAACCACTTCTGAAAAGCTAACAATGCAAGGTTAAATACCATACATGTAATGGGCTCGACACTTCTGTATCTAATAACATAAAGATAAGTAATCAATTGTTCATTTACTTTTTCTCACCTGATCAAATTCATTTACATAAATGCTTTTTTCCTCTTTTCTTAAAGTTTGTTTTGCCACAGCATTTTCAATGTGGTAGTTTACTGCATAAGGTCTGAAAAAGGCTTTACGTCTTCAGTCTAGCAGAGTTTCAAGCCTTGTTCAGACCTTATGCAGTAAACTACTTCATAGTTGAGTTTTGTTGCAGAGGGCGCTACACAAACAAAGAAGATTTTTAAATTTAAATTTAAATAGATTTAAATTGTATGTTCTTTCAAATTTGACACTCAGTTTTTCTTTATCTCACACAAAATTATTTAGTGTAGTGCCCTCTGCGACAAAACTAAACTATCCTTCTAAAAATGTCTACTGCAGCATTTTTTGAGGTGGTTTACTTGTATAATGTCTGAACAAGGCTTTACCTATACTGGGGGTGTTTCACAAAGTTGAACTTATCTCTAAGTTGGACTTAACAATTATGGAAAGCCGTTGGCATCTATGAAAATATTTTGTAAAAGTTTGTTTAAAGGCTTAAAATGTTGATTCAAATCATTCATATTTTCTATTATCAAGGAGATTTCATGTTCTTGACATGGAATTTATAAAAAGTCTAAAATACTTGATTTTTCACTTCTGAATATATTTTATTTTAAGGCTACAAATGGCTCTCCCTAATTTTTAAGTCCAACTTAGAGTAAAGTTTGACTTAGGATCTTTGTGAAACACCCCCCATTCTAGCAGAGTATGGAGCCTTTCTCACCTGTATGAAGAGCATGACAAGAACCAGGTTTCTTTCATGCATTGGACCCGTTATCTTCAAGACCAGATTGAGGATGGTAAAGTTACTGCACTCCGTCTCCTCCTTGTCTTCTCCTACTCCTTCTTTAATGTGTATTACTCCAACTAACCCGCATACCCTCACTGCTAACCTCCCTACAAAACAGCGAGGAAAAAAGAAGAAAAAACAAACAATGTTACCCCATAATCTACAGAATCTATGTGATTCCTTTCTAGACTCTGTTTCATAAAACAAGTAATCCATAACAATGTCTTCTCCCACTCTTTCCTTAATGTGTTTCACTCCAACTAAACCACATACCCTCACTGCTAACCTCCCTACAAAACAGAAATAGAAAAGATAACAACAATGTTAACCCATAACCTACAGGATCTAGGTGATTACTTGCTGGGCCCTGGGTCATAAATTTTGTTATCAATAGCAAGTTGAAATAACTGTTATAAGCTACTGAAATTGTGGCATTTGATTGGCTGAGAGCAAATTTGTCATACAAATTTAGCATTTTGTATTGATAAGTTTTATGAAACGGGGCCATGAAGCTTACGGGAATGACAGAATTTCATATCAAAAAGGTAAATGAATAAACACTGTAAAGCTATCACAATTCTTCTCTGAATGAACATTATTTACAGAGATGTGTAATATCTTGGTTGTTAGTTATTCTCAATGCATTCACTGTGTATTCAGATATGTACTCCTTACTACATACACATTTACTTGATTTAAAAAATTTAGATTGTCTGCTGCCTGTATATGTATATTACTTTTGTTAAGCCCTTTGAGAACTCACTCTTGAGTTGAATTGTGCGATACAAAAATATTATATTACTATTACTATTCTCTAACATGTATCCATCCATCTAGCCCACCCACTTACCATCACAGCTAATCTCCCTAGGAAAAAAAATGCCAATAATGTGAACTCAAAACTTTGTTGAAGAGTGCCAGTGGATAAATTTTCCACAAGCCAATTGGTATTGTCATGCAGAGTAAACAGTACATGATAAGAAGAATGCAATGTTTGTTTTTTTTTGCTGGAGACATACTAGACCAGGAGCAAGATACCGAAGTCCCATAAAATAATGCGACCTAACTCTATTTGCTTGAACAGTTGATATAAACTCACCTATAAAGCCAAGGTTCTTCATCTTAAATCTTGTATAGCTCATTCCTAGGGTATCAGTATCAGGATTGAACCTGGAATAAGAAGATATTCAACTTGTCAAAATGCATTCAATAGCACTACTGTACACTTTATGTCCATATCAGGTATCTGATGAGGCTACCATTGGTAAAGAAGACATATTACTATAATTATCATTTACTTGTAGTATCGAACATTTAGTGTAAATTTGATTTGGTTCTATAATCATGTTTTCTATCATACCCTGTTGAAGATGGTCTCATTTTCTTACAAGTTGCACATTTAATGGGTTTAACTAAAACTTTAATTTCACCTTGTCTCAAACTTTACAATTTACGGTCAAGTTTTGGGGAAACGTATGTTTGGGAGTAGGTGTTTCACCAGACTACTGCATATTGGTGCAATTCCAATGTTTGGTTAACCTCCCTCCACGCCGTGTACTTACTTTGGCAGTCTATGCCGGGGGCAGGGCACAAAATGGAAGAGCTGAGGGACGGAGAAGACAAAGTTGATGACTTGCGGGATGAAGAAGAGAAGCATGGTCTTGCTGAAGTGACCTAAGATGGCTACCACGGCAAAGGTCATGCCAGCAAAGTAGCAGAAGGTGTCCCCCACGAAGGCCCTTGAGGGATACCTGGAAGACAATTAGGATTGCAGCATGTTGTAACTTATCTTCATCAAGTAATACATGTTACATAAATTAATTTTAAAAGTTGTTTTGAAGCTGAGCCAAGTCCAAACATCAGAGGAACAAGTGTTTGTTCAATTATTTTATTGTTTCCATGAACAAAAATAACTGTGTTTTTTTTCTTCATAAAGTTCATATAAAGTCTTCTTTCAATATCTCTCAAAGCATTAAACAGTATTAGCAAATATACAATAGAACAAACACAAACAACACACATGTAACAATAACAAGGAATACACAAATATGAGGTAAAATAATAAAAGGATAGAAACCATCGGCTTTTGCCTGGGAATTACCAAACAAAATCTTGTAAGGTTCTACTCATTAGCTGATAGTGTAAGATTGATGAAAGTTTGAAAAAAAAATGATATCTGAAAGTTGTAATCACAATACAAATGGGAATTTAAAATTGGTGAAAGTGAGTGAGCTTGCTTTACGTCCTAGAAAAATAGGGCAAAGGCAATTAAAATTGCCTTCATTAAGCAATTAACCAACTGAAAACTAAGCCTAAAATAGCTTGGCCTGGTGCTAATGAAGAAATTTACATTATATCATTCCACTGGGATACATTATGGACTTGGTGTCAAACCAAGGATCTCCCAGTACCAGGACCTATGAATACTTAAAGGGAGATGGTCCTGAGTTTCCATGTGTGGTAGGTGATAATTTGTTGACACCAGTCTTGGTGGAAATACCATTTACGTATATACAAGTCTAGCAAACAGCAAACCTGTGGTTCCATCAAGATATAACCGCTAGTCTCCTGGAGAGTCTTCTGATTAGGGAAATGTGAGGTAAATAGGTATGGGGTGATTGGGTAGAAAATGCAGACTGTTAAATAAGGCCTGTTGGTTTTTAAAACTGAAGGCTAATTCCTGGTGATTGACAACACCTGGGGCGGTATTCTGAACCCTGTGTTATCTCTAATATTGTTGTATCTTTGGAGATAAGATAAAGTTGGTATTCTGAACACTGTTGTAAGTTTTGTGTTATCTTTTGTTGTATCTTTTCTCTCATCTCATTGGCCGCGCCTGCGCTCATAGTTTGGTGCGCTTGTAATTGTGCGTATTATTAATAAAGTGGCGTTTAATCCTCATTTGCATATGCGCACGAGAGATAATATGTCGAGATAATTGGTATTCTGAAAGTTGTTGTATCTTTTATCTTATCTTATCTTGCATGGTATTTACAACAATATTTACAACAGGTAGGGGGTTGTTGTATCTTTCGTGGTGACATAATGGCGGCAATATTTCTTGCCCAGAACCGACTTCGTGTCAATAGACGACTTAGAAGAAGATTTTGTGTTGACCGGAAACATCACAGATGATAACTTTCTAAGAAATTAAATGCTAGGATATGACGATTTTAATGCTCTCATCTTAACCAATATAGTGAAAGCATGACTTGTCTTCATGATCCACATTCAACAGCGCCTAATAATGACGTGCGTAATAAGCGCTCAAATAACTAGTTACGCCCAAGATTAGTATGCGCTAGGCGCATCTTCAGATATGGCATACAGTATTCCTATTGGTTGGCCTACTTATCATGCTTATATAAAACAGATTTTGATTGGTAGGGTCCATACAAATGGGCGTGTCAACAGTGGTCAAAGATAAGATAGAGGCGGTCCTTCAAGAGATAACACAGGGATAAAATGATGTTCAGAATACCAACTTACAACAATATTAGCGCTGTGTTATCTCTGGAAGATACAACAAAAGATAACACAAAACTTACAACAATGTTCAGAATACCACCCCTGTTGTCGGGTACCCGTAGACACTCGGATGGTGTCGATTTCCCCATGAGAGCCCACTACTATAAGCTAACATTTCTCATCATTTATGCTTTTTGATCAAAGCTTGAATTAGATGCTTTCCAACATTCCTAGAAAAACTCACCAATTATGATAAAGGAGAGCCAGGCAGACAGCACAGAATGGCATCATGAAGTACAAAGAGAATAGATGAGCTTCACTCCAATTTCCTAGAAAGAGATCATAATAATAATAATAGTATGTCTTGTTTACCCAGGGTAGCCTCATCAGTATTCATACTGTTCTCTCTGAGGGCCCTGCACTCATATAATTACCCCGGCTTTAGTATAACTAAATGTACCATGATAAGGTGCTCAAGCATTTTTCCTACGGGATAATCAACAAATTCTTGACGTAAAGTCTGGAACTGTGTCTTTGGAACCTAGTTTGAAAAGAGAGGCTTGTACTCTCCAGAGAAAGTCAATTTTTATTCACTCTGTGCCTGAAAACTCAAAGAAAAGCTGAGAATGTAGAACTGAAAGTGATTCTCAATATGTCCCACGGTTCTTCAAGTGGGACGATATTAAAAGCGATTGTGCTAATTGGTGATAGCAAACTATATTTGAATTGAAATTTGCTTGTCAACTAATTGTTGCCAATTTAAAGAAGAAAAAAATCAATCTATGCCTACAAAGAGCAAACTACTTATAAAACTGAAAATTTAAAACTGAATTGATCCACCATTTTTCCTGCATACCTGATAACTGGACGATATTGAAGATGAAGATTTAAAGAAGAAACAAATCAATCTATGCCTACAAAGAGCAAACTACTTATAAAACTGAAAATTTAAAACTGAATTGATCCACCATTTTTCCTGCATACCTGATAGTTGGACGATATTGAAGATGATAACACTGATACAGATGACCGCTGACTGACCGCATTCCAAGCCATTCACTCCAGCCAAGATGTTTATTGCATTGGTGCAGAAGACGGCTAACATCCCCATGTAGATGTAGTACAAGACTCCTACATAAAAAAAATGGATCACATTGTATATTGATGTACAGAAAGGATAGATAATGAACGGTAAAGGTGCAGAAGACAGGTAACATCCCTTTATAAATATAATAAAAGACTCCTATAGAATATCAAGATGGAGCAAGCTGTGTACCATACAGAAAGGATAGATAATGAACGGTAAATGATGCAGAAGACAGCTTACATCCCTTTATAAATATAATAAAAGACTCCTATAGAATATCAAGATGGAGCAAGCTGTGTACCATACAGAAAGGATAGATAATGAATGGTAAATGATGCAGAAGACAGCTAACATCCCCATGTAGATGTGTTGGTTCTTTTGTTTTGTTGTTTTTGTTATTGTTTATTCAATTTGTACGATTCTTTTACTAATTTTAAGGTGGCTGTCCAGACAAACCCACTAGGGTTTTTATTCAGCAACCAAATTCCTATTTTTTTTTACTGACAATATTTTACTATTTTAATGATGATTATGTATAAGTAGTATTTCTTTTATATTTACTGTATGTTAATGTTACTGTTTTTTATTATGGAATTGAATAAATGCTGAATTGAATTTATGTAATATAAGACTCCTGTATCATAGCATGTTCTAACACATCATATGAGTGAGATGGGATGAGAATAATATAAGGTACAAAAATCAGTGATCTGGAACTGTTTTTTATTTCAAAGTTTTGGAGACAAACTTGAATCATCCTGTGAAATCCAACTTCATGAAACCGTTTGTAATTTCATATAGCACTTGAACATTTTCAGCTCCGACAGCACTAAAAGGGTTACCGGTAAACAGTTATAAGAGAACTTGAACTATGATTTCTTATACTGTGCAAAATATTGTTTATTAAGTAGTGACTATTCATATTCATATAGGTATGTGTCTGACGAGAGAAAAATTATTACAGTCAAACCCGCTTTAGTGACCACCTGTCTACAACAAGTACATTTTATTTTTCCCTTGAAAATGGTTTCTCATTGAAACATGTACTAAAGGAACCTGTCTACAAAGACCGTTTTTGTGTTTCCCTTGAGTGGTCGCTATAGACAGGTTTGACTGTATTACTGTCGTTTATAGAGTACCGAAGCTGTGACATCATGAGACCCTATTTTTAGAATATCTCAATTTGCACTTCCATTTCCGAATTGTTCAAATGCAGTTCAAATTGAGAAATTCTAAAAATACTTTTTTGATGTCACACCTCACCACTCTATACTCTGTACGCTCATGTGGACATGTCTCTTTTTGCTATAAAACGTTTATCAGATTCAATTATCCACTTACCCAGGTTAATATCATTGCCGATGTATGCATTGAGTGGTTTAGGGACCATGATGGTTGTGGAGCCATAATTGACGACGTAGACCATGAGCAAGGGCAAGGTCGCCATTGTGGGAAGCTGGAGTTTGTGGCGCCATCTTAGGTCCAAGACATCGTCAGCGAAGCCAAGGAATATCATGCAGCATATAGACAGAAGAGCTGCGATGAACTCTACAAACTGAAACATCGGAGGAGTATTTTATCAATATTTTATATCACAGGCCTACTTTAGAACTTTTTTTTTTTGGGGGGGGGGGGTATGATTAAAAAAGGTGATATGAAATGTTTGGAACATTAATATGATCACAGAAGAGAATTCTGATTCGAAATCTCCCCCCCCCCCAAAAAAAAAGGTCTCTTCAGAATAATCACTTCCCAACCACCCCCCCCCCCCTGAAAAAAAAAGGACCATAAAAGTAAAGAAATTACGAGGAGCCGATGATTGTTGTGCTCGAAAATATCCCACCAAGCTCATATTCCAGGAATTTATTCCTCCTTTGTACCAAATTAATACTGCAGGGTGGAGAATGTCCATAACATGTTCAAACATATGATCTTCACATCTTTATTCAAGTACTAGAACTACTTGACCACGACATCTTGAACATTGAAATGATAATCTCTTTCAGCAGCTCCTACATCTCAGGGGGTGTCCCACAAAGACTAAGATAGACTTTAAGTTGGACTTAAATATGGCAGGCCGTTCATGCCACTGTTTGCTCTCCTCATAATATTCTTTGTCCTTCAATAATGAATTGTAACAAATGTAAGTTCTGTACATTTGTGAACATGATTTGTACGTCTCTTGAGAGATGGTGAGAGCAAATAGTGGCATGAATGACCTGCCATAGTTAAGCCAAACTTAAAGACGATCTTAGTCTTTGTGAAACACCCCATGGCACCATGGTGAAGTGAATGATTGCATTTCCTCATCTCAACAAACATAGGAGCCCTTTTTCTTGTATAAATTCCTGAATAACTTTCTGAAGAAAGAACAAGTTTGCGACTTTGCGTTCCATCAATTTTGACAAATGATCATTTGATTTCATTCCTTGGCAATAATGCATTACCATCTCCTTCTTCATCCAATCATTTCATTTGAAGCCAAGAGAGGCTCCTTCACATATACTGCAATAAACCAAAGCGCTTGTTTTTTTTTGGTTTTTTTTGTGTACTAAAGGAATGGCAAGCGGGGATAGCATAACAAAGGTCCTACGCATACATCAATCTGTGTGTGTTATAAGATACACAAATAAAAGCAGTATGCTTTAAAAAAAAAAACCCTGGGGTAACGGACAAATGTGACCAAGCCTATAGTGGACATCAAAACATAGTAGGTATGTCTTCATCAGCTCGAGATTGCCAAATAGCCTGCTATTCCTGATTAGGGAAATAATCCTGTCGTTACAAATAGTGTCTTCAACAGCTCGAGACTCGACCTCGAAACTTGAGCTCAGGATATTAGCTCAAGATATTTTGGTCAGCATTCGCGCATAATGCGAGTCTTCAGGCTGGTGAAAACGCACCAGACAAATAGCGGGATATTTTGCAAACTAGCCCAAGATTTCTTGGGATGATCTCGACCAAATATCCCGCTAATTGCAATTTCGGGCTGATGAAGACGCAAAATTAACTGGATAATTTGCAATCGGGATAGTTGAAATAGCGGGATATTTGGCAATCTCGAACTGATGAAAACAGGCCTATTGAATGCTTACCCTGTCATGAGGGAAGTCTTCTCTGGTATCGGATTTCCACATCCTCCAGAATGGAACAGGGATGAAGAGGAACATAACGATGAGAAAAACAGCTCCGGTGATCACTCCTAGACCCTCGGGACTAAAAGAAAACAGAGAGTAAGAGTGAGCAGGTTTTTCAAGATATGACAAGAAATGGGAAGGAAAATAAGGAAGGGGGAGAAGAGCCAGAATAGAGAGGCAGGGGGAGAACATCTCCCTTGAATACAGAAGAGATTTTACTTTTATTAGTCTTTCCACATCCTCCAGAATGAAACAGGGATGAAGAGGAACGTGATGATGAGAAAGACAGCTCTGGTGATCAGTTCAAGACCCTCGGGACTAAAAGAAATGCGAAAGAGAATGTGAAAGGGATCATAAGGACCCTGTTGCACAAAATTTACCATTGATGGTAACTTAGCCATCAATGGAAAATACCATGGAAACCTAGATTTTGATTGGCTGTATAGCCCTGTTACCATGGTAGTTGCCATTGATGGCAAAGATACCATCAAGGGTAAGTTTTATGCAACAGGCCCTCTCTTTTCAGGATATCATCAGATTCAAAGGGTGAAAGAGGTCGAAGCAGAGCAATGAAACAAAGTTGATGTGGAAAGAATGTCACATGAAGTAAAACCATTTCCACATCTTCCAAATGAAGCAGGGATGCTGAGAACAAGATGATTAAAAAGACAACTCCAGTGATCACACCAAGAACCTCAGGACCAGATGAAAAGAAATAGAGAAAGAGAAATAGAAAGTGATGAGATCTTTTCAGGATATCATCAGATTCAATGTTTTAGGATATTCCACTGCAGTAGTCAGACCTATGCGTCTTCCTTCTTCTCAAGAAACTACAAGGACTGGAACAACCTCATACAGGACCAAGCCCAATACCCCTCTCTTGATGCCTTCAAGGTCTTCTTGAATGGGATGCAGATGTAATTGCTACAAGACCGGGAATTTTTTTACTTACACATGTATATATGCACCTGTACAACAAGAACAAAGCGTTAAAATGTGGAATAACAGGATATGTGAAAGTCTCCACATATTCATACACAATCAGTGCGTTTATCTTCATCACCTTGAAGCAGCACTTACACTGGAAGAAGAAGAAGAAGAAAGTGCGAAAGAGGTCAAAGCAAAGCAATGAAACAAATTTGATGTGGAAGAAAATCTCACATGAAGTAAAACCATTTTTCACATCTTCCAAATAGAGTAGGAATGCTGAGAACAAGATGATTACCGTAAGAAGACACACCAAGAACCTCGGGACTTACAGAAACAAGATAGACGAAGAGACATTGAAAGTGATAAGATCTTTACAAGATATCCTGAGATTGAACATTTGAAAAGAAGGATGAAGAACAAATAGAAAGGATGAAGGGGAGAAGACCTCCATTGAATTAAAAGGTAAAACATGGTAGAAGAAGAGCAACAAAATTGAAGAGCTTAATTCCAAAAGGAACTACATCCACCTTTGATGAAAATTGAGTTATTGATACCAGAACATTGTTCACTTAAGTACCCGTCTTTCAACAAAATCATTTACCTAAATTTTGAGAGCAATTATGAAAAAATGCACCTTCTAATATCACTTTTTTATAGACAGCTGTACAAAATCTGGTAAACAATCTCTTTTTCTCTGAAGTTACAAAAATGGATATAGCTCCTTTTGGAATTAAACTCTTCGAATATAGAGGGAGAAAGTATAAGGCAACGATGAAAAAGAATGGAAAAAGATATCATCTTAATTCTTTCAATCTTAGATTGATAGGCTATTAAGATATTCCCTCATGGTTTGCTCTGTTCAGTGGTTTACTTTTTGTTTTAATGGGATCATTTAACAATGTTAAATCTGAGATAAACGGCCCTACGTGTAATCAGTGTCTGTGATATGGTGTTATATTGAAGCCCTAAAAAAATTGCGCTTCAAAATGATCAAGAAGTGCCTCAAAAAAGTAAAATCCTTTGAGTGACCGATTTTCACATACTCGTTTTCCCCAATAGTCTGTAGTGTTATGAAAACCGTTTAGCAAACGCAAAATTTGATTTTGATTTCCAATTATAAATATCTTGATAATCAGACAGGCGATCGGCTTGTAAAAGTCATGGGGTTCCTGACTGACCTAAAGGTTTATAATTATCATTGCAGCATGATCTAAGATAAAGTTACCGGATCCCTTTAATGGTTTGACCCGGATGTACTTACACTTTCTTAGGTTCTTGTCCTTTTGGTATCTTCTTACTCATGTCCTTTCCGTACATGTCAGCTGCGATGAAGAGATCATAGAACCTTGGGATGAGACGCACAGTCAGGACAAAGGCACAGACAGACATCGCAGCATTGATGTACAGAGGCCAGTGGGTTATTTGCTGTCCTTCCATCTGAATATGGTAAAAAGAGAAAGAAGAATGCACAGATACTAGAATTACTTTTAAAAAAAGGGTTCTTAAAAAGCTCATGAAGCATTTTGGTAAGCCCTCATCCCCCCCCCCCAAAAAAAAAAAGGATTTTTTTTTTTTTTCTCCTTCAATATTTCTTTATTTTATATGAGAAAAAATAAACAAACAGGCATTGCAGCATTGCTGTAGAGGTGCAAGTGAGTCATTTGCTAAAGAAAGAAGACTGAGTGTTTATTGAAAAGGTCCTTAAGTCACATGTAGAATTCTGCCTTCTCCAAAAAAAGAGAAGAGTAAAAAAGAGTCAATGTTTTCTTTATTTTAGTAGAGGTAAGGCACAGACATATATATAGCATAGAGGCTGGGTCATTTGTTGTCCTTCCTTCTTCTTCTCCTTCGTTTAGTATTATTTATAATGGCTATTAGTCAAATTTAACTATTGTTCCCAATTTCATCGCATCTCTTTCTTTAAATGTCTTGGTAAAATTGATGTATGGTAAAGAAAAGAAAACGGAGAAGAAAAAAAAGAGTATGCAAAGGATTTTATCAATCCTATTCATCATAGAAGGTTCTTGAAAATCGTTTGATGAAGTGATTAATAATCACACACTTGCATCGCTGTTGGAGAACATTTCTCATTTTCTTTTGCATGTCATATAATTTATCAATATAACTCCGAAACTTACTCATTCATTGTACAATATACTTGATTAACTTTTCATTTTTGTAAATAACTCATCAGCTTGTAATAAATAGCTTTTTAATTCATCATGGAACAGATCAACTTTCAATTAAAATTTCAACCATTCTCAAGAATTTCTCTGTAATTTTTCTGTTAACCATGCCATAGGAATGCTAGTTGTTCCAATAGCTAATTTAAATTTATGTGCAATTAAAAAATCAGTTTATATCAATTAAAATGGTGAAAATGAAAAATTAACATGTTGCATGTTGTTGACGCTTCTTCTTCTTCACATCCACACGTTAACACAGTGCAAAAAAAAGGGGGGAAACAGCAAACACAATAATGAAGGTGTGGGACAACACAATACGATCACAAATTGGCTCAGCTACATTTTAAGGCATATTATGAACTGAGAAGAACAAATGAAAGGCTACCATACCTTGCTTGCGGACTAGGCAGATTGATCGTCAGGATAAGAAGCGACTTTAACCAGAAATGGTACAAAATCAGCGGTGCGACGTGTCATCCGTATCAGTTTCTGACGAAATCCACACTTTATCAATACAAATACTAGTCTTTTTCCAGTCGCTGTTTTGAAAGGAAATGCACTGAACTCTAATTTGATATAGTCGAGCACGGAAGTTGCTAGTTACTTCTTGGTTCATGTGGCTTTATTGCTAGTTCTCCGCTAATTATGTCACAATTATTTTCTTTTCTTACTCGCTCTCTCAATCAAGTAAAGTATAGGGGTCAAGACAGGGCGAAATGGAAAATAGCACCTTCTTCTCCCATCCCAAAAATCCACCTAAAATTATAAAAGAAATTCAAGTGACAAAAATGCCCGGCCCCTCGCCACCCCCCCCCCCCCCCACTCCGTGAACGGAGGGGTACCATGCGAGTTCTCAAACTCTCCGGCTCGTAAAAAAGAAAAAGGTCTACCCGTATTGATTTTACACACCGGACTTTTGCTGAAAGGGGGGGGGGGGGGTCGCTGGGAACACGCATAAACACCGAGTGGGGGGGGGGGGGCGGGCAAAAATGACACGAAGGAGTGGGCGGATCGAGAGCTGAGCATTGATCTTGCAATAATTAGGCTCATTAGTATGCTCTAGTCTAGACTCTACATTATGATTGCCTGATAATAAAGTAAGTAGTCAAAAGAAGACTTTTGTGCAACGGGTCATCACAGCCGAATTGCAACGAGTCAATAAGTTATTTTTATTATTCATCGTTATTCTTATAGTTATAGCTACTATCATCATCGTCATCACCGGAGGAGGGAAGGAGGAAAACTGAGAGAGATCGGGAAAGAAAAGGTTAAAAAATGGAGATTGATGAAAGACAGAGAAAAAACAGAAGATTGTAAAGCATTCTGGGAGAGAGAGAGAGAGAGAGAGGGCGGGGGCAAAGTAAAATGGGGAAATGATTCGAGAGAGAGAGAGGGAGGGAGAGGGAGAGGGTGAGAAGTGAGAGGGAGAGCCTGGAGAGAGAGAGAGAGAGAGAGAGAGAGGGGGGGGGGGCGGAGGTAATTAAAGTAAATAAAAGGATATATATATATATATATATTATATATATATGCATTTTTCCGCCGTGACCGCGAAAACCAGCCGATCAGTGCCCCCTTCAATATAGTAATGACCGATGCAAATTTCACTGGCCGAGTTATGAGTATAAAATAGCCCCCCCCCCCCCCATCCTCCCCCTTCATGGAAGTCCGTTTCCGTGGTCTATTCCAGCTTGGCAATACAAGCTATGGTAGAATCCTTAACTAATAATAATAATAAGACATAACATTTATTAGGCGCTTAATACGGGTGTTTCTAAGCGTACCATTGTCTGACTTGAAATTAACAACTAAAACTTATAATAAACACACAAAATATAAATCTGTTCTTTATTCAATAAATCATGCATATATAATTACAAAAATGAGATCAAACATATTAAGGTCAAACATAGCATCAAACAAACAAGGAATAAGATGGTGTGCACCTCCTCTGACCGACTCACAACTGCAGGTGCGTTTTAACTCGATCTAGTTGCCGCAGTTCATGACCCCTGGCCCAGGCCCAAGTCAGTGCGAAGTAAGTTCAAGTTTAACTTCGTTAAGGCTCGGTGAAAGGTATCCGGAGCTGAGTAGGTCCCTAAGGAGATGACAATACTGCATGATCTGCATGCGTTTACACGCGGACATGTCTGGCCGAGGCTAAATGGCATACACCGCTTACTTTATACTCATAACACTTTTCAAGTGCAAGTGCATGTCCCCGGCCTAGTGCTACCAATGCAGCCAAACTGTATATGACGTTTAATAACTTCCACAGGAATATCGTTGACTTCTGAAATAGATAAGGGAGAAATGCACTAAACGTGTGGTCGATGTCGAACTCATCATTGTCTTTACGTGACGACAAGGAGGTCGATTAGGTCTTTAACTTGGCCTTCGATAAGGTCGATGACCATGGATCTATTTCGGAGTAGGCAGCTCATGCCCAAGCTTTTGGTGGTGATATCGGGTTTGATCTTCTTGTATTGTGTGTTCGTGTTGAAACCGGCACCAAGAACTCGACCGCCAACCACAGGTATGAAAAACATAAAAACATTTAATTTGGTCCATTTTGCGTTGAAAATATAACTGTTTATCATTTTGTTTACGAAATATGGTTATAGGTGAATACAAAATAAATTGTAGCTCTTAAAAATCAGTCATTATCAAATGTCATACAACAGTATCATAAATGTATGACTACGTTTTCCCTTTCCTTATTCAGAGGCGTATACGTGGGGAGCTTGGGCGGTGACCCCCCCCCCCCCAGCCGACTGACAGAAAATAACATAATATAAGAAGTGAGATACAAAGGAAAGTATATATGGGGGGAGGGGACCTGTACTTTTAATTAAAAAAGTGATTATGTTCGTGTTTGAAAATGATATGTGCAGCGCCATAAGCGTCAGAGCCTGCATGGCGGATACCGGCGCTATATAAATATCAATATTATTATTATTATTATTAAAACATGAGGAGAACATAATTACCCCCCCCCCCCTCCCGAATGCGACTAGTCCAGGCCTGGACTATAGTCACTCACGCTCGGCCGCTCTGTTTCGGACATTAACACAGCAATAATATAGTGCAATGAGCAATCTAGAGATACCACATACCATCTTTGTGACTGACTGAATGCTGATGTTTATTTATCTATTCATATTTATATTGTTGTATAATTATAATCATTTTCAAATATTACATGTATCACCTTTAATAGAAGCTATTTTCGATTTTTCTAATGTATAACGTATGCCTACTTGTAAGTTTTGATTATAATTATATGTAATTATTTCTATATATGTCTTTATTTCTATTGTCTTCTACATTTGTAAAGCGCATTGGTATTACCTTCGGTTATTAAATGCGCTATATAAGAGCTAACTATTATTATTATTATATTAGAGATAGTATAATGATAATTCTATCATCATAATTCATAATGATGATTAATATTTCCAAATATCATAGTTGTGAAAAAGGGGAGAGTCTACCGATTGATTTCCCATGTTTAACCTTAGTTTCAATTGCTGTCAGTATTACGAGGTGAATATGGCATAGAGAGCGCCTTTATTTGCTGACGAATCAAATAACTCCACCGAAGCGATCGAGGCCTTGCCCTAGATTTTTGTCATACTCCTATCATTTTGCTTGAAACATGAGACGCTCTAGCTCTGACTATGTTATTTGAAGTATGGGATAGGCACAAGCAAATCAAACATCTGTCTCGATTTGTGAGAAGGCTGTCATTGTCACTTTGGAGATAACTTTAAGATTTCTGTCTTGGGGTCTCTCTCTCTCTCTCTCTCTCTCTCTCTATCTCTATTTTTTGTTGATTTTGTTTTATTTATTTTTGTACTCAAATATTCACAAATTAAAATGACATATATAAACCATACAGTATTACAATATATAATAGAACGAATGAATTATACAAGTCCTTTGAGCACTTGTCCACCTAAAGGCGGATGTAATTCGAGGGATCACATGCAGCGACCGAGGGGGGGGGGGGGGGGGGGGGGGGGGGGGGGGGGGGGGGGGGTAGGGTAGGATCGTTTGGTTTTTACTTTATTCACTTCATTAAATACTTTCACTAAAAATATACAAAGGAAAACAAACATATACAAGTTAAAATATAATATATATCATGAGAATAACACAAGCGGAGAAGACATGTGGAACAAGGGGATAAAAACTAAATGAAACATGTACATTAATGAAAGTATTTGGAGACTAGGCAGAAAGGCCGGGGCTCTAAAAGTCTGTCTCCAGTGATTCTATACAAAACTAATTACATCATTTTTTTTATTTTTATTTGTTTAAATAAAAGAAAAATTCCTTTCTTTCTCATTTTGTTATCTGCTATGCTAGGGGCGCGCACCCCTTATAATGTACGCTACTGGATACAAAGAAGTGGCGTCGTGATGTGAAACTTTAACCATATTCTGGGAACATTAATGTGGTTATGTTAAACAGGTTTCAATCCTATTATTCAAGTTTTAAACATACCAAATCAGGCTCGGACGCGTTGTGACTGGTAGACCTATTTCGTAGCAGATCAGGACCGAATTCCCATTATAATTTAATATGTAAGTTTCCAGCGACCAAGGACAATTTAAACGAAAGTGGCAGAAACTTGATTTCCGTCTGACTGTCTGGAATCTCATTTTACCCTTGACCTGAAAACAAAACGTCATTAAGAATATAGGTCTCAGAGTGATTGCAGCAGTACAATTTATGACTATCATTAGCAAAGTGCTATTACGATCATCATGATCATAATAAAAGAGAATGATAACGGTTTTCAAGATATACAGCTAAATTCCCCCACATCCCTCCGACCCGAGCCGCCCCTCCCGAGCGCATAATCGTGACAACCAGGCGCGTACGCAGGATTTTTTCAATTTTTTCAAGGGGGGGGGGGGGGGGGGGGGGGGGGGGTTAACATTTATAAATCGGGCCGAAAATTTCGCAACGACTCAACCAGCTGCTGAATAAGCGGGGGGGGGGGGGGGGGGGGGGGGGGGGGGGGGGGGGGGGGGGGGGGGGGTAAGAGAACACTTTTTTTTTTTTTTGTCTTGAAATCTGAAAATTTGACATTTTGCTCCTTTGGGGGGGGGGTAAGGTAAAAAAAAAAATCCAAAGGGGGGGGGGGTTTTAGGGGGATTATGGGGGGTTACACACAGAAAAAATACCAAAGTGGGGGTTTAACCTCCCCCCCCCCCCCCCCCCCCCCCCCCCCCCCCCCCCCCCCCCCCCCCCCCCCGTGTACGCGCCTGGTGACAACACCTTCCTCAACACTTTGTCTGGCTCCCCTTTCTCAATTTCAATTCAATTTCAATTTCAAATTTATTCATGTTTCCAACACGGCATTACAAATCAATTATAAGCATTTAAAACAAATTTAAGAAATACATGTTGGAAACAGAGGGGTCCACTCAAAAGCAATGCTTATCTCTCTTTCTCTCTCCATCTCTCTTTCTCTCTGTTGTCTCTCTCTCCCTCTCTCTGTTTTGTCTCTCTCTCTCTCTCTCTTTCTCTCTCCATCTCTCTCTCTCTCTCTCTTTC